GTCCTGACCAGTAGTGCAGCACCATATGAATGAATGCAATGGATCAGCATTCCTTTTGAAAACAGCTGCTATTCTGATTTTTTAGGAACTCTTTTGGGTTAAAAGGCAGATGACTGAAGTCAAGGTTCACACACACAGCAGGATGTCCTAATAGGTAGGTCTCAAATGAGTTACAGGTGTGCATGGCTACAGTATTCCCTCAGCTCTCAAAGCAGCTGGGACCCCAGGATAGTGGGTAACCTACCCCCCTTGTACCCTATGCAGTAGTAATTCTATCACTTGGTTAAAAACAATCACAATCATGAAAAGGCTGGGAAGCCCTGAATATGGACCCTGTAAGTATAAGAAGACAGAGGAGAAGCCCCCAGCTGACGCTCATGATCCAATACCATCACCTGGGGTTCTCTAAAGCAGAACAGACAGGTGCTGCAAACCCTTTCCGCTCGGAGCAGTTCTCATTTAAAAAAATGACAGGCGGGCTTCCCTGGTGGCGCAGTGGTTAAGAATCCTCCTGCCAATGCAGTGGACAAGGGTTCAAGCCCTGGTCCGGGCAGATCCCACATGCCGCGGAGCAACTAAGCCCGTGCATCCCAACTACTGAGCCTGCGCTCTAGAGCCCAAGCCACAACTACTGAAGCCTGCGCGCCTAAAGCCCATGCTCCGCAACAAGAGAAGCCACTGCAATGAGAAGCCCGGGCACCACAACGAAGAGTAGCCCCCGCTCGCCGCAACTAGAGAAAGCACGCGGGAGGCAAGGAAGACCCATCGCAGCCCAAAATAAATTTAATTAATTAATTAATTTAAAAAAAATGAGAGGCAGGACTAGACTAGACTCAAACATCCAGAAAGAGTCACAAATAATAAGTTTTAGTCACTACGGAGGTCTCCTGTTTCATTTCTGGCTGAGCCCATTTTCTTATCCTTAAAATGACACTATTTACTCAGGTATAACGTTTAATGCTTTAGAAATTTCTACTCAAACAGAAATGTGTGATACTGCAACTGTTTGGGGGATGTAAGTTATGAAAATTGTGATTAAGAGATACATCTTAGTTACAATAGCCTCACAAAATGTACCTTAGCCAAACTCAACTTGCATAGATGAGATTAGGAAACACATTAGCTCCTACTCTTTTTTAAAAAAAGAAAAAGAAAAAAAAAAGATTGGTAGCCTTTTGGTGCTCTAAAACCCTAGGTAGTTGAAGAGCGTTGGAGCTACCACAAGCACCCACACAGTTCTGAGAGATTAATGCTTAAGGGTATCTAAAACTTAAAAGTGGGTGTGGGGACTCTGCTGGTGGCGCAGTGGTTAACAACCCGCCTGCCAATGCAGGGGACACGGGTTCGAGCCCTGATCCGGGAAGATCCCACATGCCACGGAGCAACTAAGCCTGTGCGCCACAACTACTGAAGCCTGCACGCCTAGAGCCTGCGCTCTGCAACAAGAGAAGCCACTGCAATGAGAAGCCCTTGCACCGCAACCACGAGTAGCCCCCCCTTCCCGCAACTAGAGAACGCCTGCACGCAGCAACAAAAACCCAAAGCAGTCAAATAAATAAATAACAATTAAAAGTGGGTGTGGAGCCCAAACTAATCTTTTAGTTAATTTTTGTCATAACAGATTTTTCTTTGCAGATGGGAGCTGACAACATAAGGCTTGGAATTTATATAGTTAACTTCAAGTTATTCTCATTTCAATACCAGTTTTCTTATTCAAAAAAAAAAATAGTGTAGAAAAACAAACATAGCTTGCACCTGTACATTTCACTATTTTCCTGCTGCAGCTAAGAGGATAAGCAACCAGAACTTATCCCAGAAAACTATGATCTTTGGTTAAGCAGATCAGAATCAAAGTACTGCAACCTGGAACGACAATGCATAAAGAAATTCTACAGGTGGGTTCTAGGCATAGTTGTTAAAATTTAGTTATAAAAAAGCAGAAAGTCTTTTTAAATAAGATTTTTCATAATGATACACCACAAATTTTGCTAATGAGTACATTTTTGTATTGATTTGGCTTGTAACTTTGTAACACCAAGATCTTATTAAAGTCTAACATGCTCCTTTCAAATGACAGGAGGGCCAAGATAAATTTTAATGATTTTTGAGAAGCAAACAAAAAAATGGGGGCCAATAACTTTCATGGATTTAAAAACTGTCATTTGACATTAAGTTTGCCAATCTGTCTCCAGGCCTCAAGCTTTTCCTAGTTTCATGCTTTGCATTCACTTATCATGTAGAGGACCTTTGAGCTCTAAATTAATCTTAGCTTCCATACATGGTCTAGAGAGGATAATTTGATAAACTCTGAGTCACTGGGACTAGAAGGAACCACCACAGCAAAGGTGTGTAATTTTGGGGTCTATGGGTGGAAGAGAGGGCTTTTGATTATTACTTGTACAATAGTACTTTAGGAAATATCTGGGCATTTAGAAAGAGTTTTTCTAATACGGGTCACATTCAAACTTTAAAATGTGACAGTAAGAGAAACTGTAAAAACATCTGGTAGAAATTAACAAATAAAAAATTTTAAAATAAAATTTATGTTTGGCTTTAGCCTAGCATAGAGTCCTTATTTTTGCTTCTCATAAAATGCAAAGAACCCATTTTATTTTCAATTATCTAATGCATTTATGCTCAAAAGATGAAACATGCACGGGTACCTTTAATATGAATGGTAGGGAAATGACCAATTTTAATAGCTTAGTTTTTAGAAGATCAGTTTGAAAGGCAGTTTACAATGCTGAAATCAGAACTGATCATTTTTGTCAGGACGCTTTTCAGATTTGAAAGTCTTCATTAGTTTTATCTTCCCTGAATGACAGAGTTCAGAAGCCAGACTTAACCTAGTTAGCTCAGAATGCACCACAGGATGCAATCAAATGTTTGAATTGATAACTTACCAGCATAAAAATAAAATCGTTAACTGGGGACTTTTTCAAGCAGCAAAAATGCCCAATCCCTAAAAGACTGGGTACTGCAACAGCTCTTTTTCTGAACACGTGCCCCGGATACTCAACCAAGGATGAAAACTAATGAGGTTTTAGGCAACACATTGTTTTTTGCATTAACTAAAGCCTGCAGGTTTTCAGCGTTAGGTTTCTGTGTTGCCCACAGCAGGGCCTAGAACATGAGGCGGTTGCGCGTGAGCAGTATTTCTTTTTTTAACTCCAGCAACAGCCCCGCAAACGATAAACGCCAAGAGCCCGGTTCACATTTTCTTGGACCCTCCATCCATCCTTGACGAAATGGTTGTAATTCTGGCGGGACCTGGGGCGCAACACTGTGGTTCTGGGAGGACAGAGCGAGTGCGTGGGTGTGTGCGAACACTGCAGGAGGGGGCAGCAAGACTTGATCACGGAGTGGGAGGGAAGGATGATGATGCCTCTCCTAGGGCGGGAAGAAACTACGAGAGGTGGTTGTTATGTATGACGGGGGCTGGCACGCAGGGAAGATGGTGGTGGCCGCAGGGCAGGGTGATTGCCGGGGGGATTCCCTGTTACTGGGCGGCGCTCAGAGCCGCCTGCGGTGAATGATCCTGGAGCAACTAAAGCGGCGCGACACTGAACCCGGGAATTCCCGACGGAAAGGGGAAAAAAGGCGCCGAGAAACGGGGTTATTATGGGATGGCAAAGGGGGCTCCCTAGGGAAAATTACGGGATCTATCTCACCCTCCAATTGCTGTACAGTCTCTTCACTCGCCGGTAATAAGCGTCTTTGTCCAGAGTTACAGCCATAGCCACAGACGCCGCTCCTCCTCGGGTTCCGAGAATCACGCGAGGTCCCGGCTCAGCCACCCTCTCTCGGCCCTGGAATCCCGCACTCTCCCAGTGACCCGGAAGTATCGACCTCAAAGATGCCCTTTCCGCTTCCGGGTCCCAGCAGCGCTTGGGATTCTTTTATTTTTTTTTTCTCTTAAATCCTTCCTACGGAGGTTAGGGGGAGGAGAGGATGGAAAAGAGTCTGGAAAGCAACAAAATATGTAACGCAAAAAGAGTTCAGATTTTCGCGGGGTTTTGTCAATTTAGCAACAGCCGCACGAGAGTCGACGTCATCACGTGACCCCCTGCACCCGCCCTTACTCTCTGCCAGGCCGCGGTTTCCAGGCGCTCGGATTCCTTGCCGAGGCGGCGGCGGCAGCGGCGACTGCCGGTGGGCACTGAGAAGGAGGCGGGAGTCCTGACGTGCCGGCCCCGCCCCACACAAGCTACCGCGCGCGGGTGCAGTGGCCCCACCCAAAGGAAGGGGAAGCGGAAAGAGCAGGGTCTGGCGTGGGGTAGGAGTGGAAAGACTGCAGCGTAACTCGGTCCGTTCCTGTCCTAGAAAAGGTGCGGAAGTAAAAGCCTCTGCTGCTTCAGGGCTGGAAGGATCCTCGGTGCCAGGACGCTGGGTCAGGGGCTCCGGGCGGACAGAGAGCTCAAACCCGGGAGACGAGCCCACCCTGCCCGTAAGACTAAACTAGGGCCGGCGCTACGGGGGAAGGGCTTCGCCATAGAAAGGGAAATTAAATGCCCGGGCTTCATTTGAGCGCTAGGGTGATAGGGGAAGGGTCAAAGGAAACAAATGGCTTGAGGGAATTTATAGAATGCACCCCCCGCCAAGTCGTGACCACGTCCTTCCAGTTAGCCAGTCCCCTTGCCGCAGTTCAAGAAGTGACACCATTCTTAGGCTTCCCCAAAGCACCGTTATTTAATTCGAGACAAAATGTACGTGGGTCTTGACGAAATTCTTCCTTTTCATCTAAGAACTTGGAGTTTGAATCTGGAACATTTTGCCTGCCATTTAGCTTAGATCGTTTCCTTGCCTTTGGTAAGGTGGAGAGCCTAAGCTTATATAAACCCTTTAATGGAGTACGGATGACTTGTCTGCCCTATCCAAGGTAACTCGGCATGAACAGTAATGAACTTTAGGAAAATGATGTTGAAATTACCCATCGTGAACATCAACTCTTAAAATTAATATATTGGGTTTGAGCAAATATAGAACAAGGGAAGAGTGGGAAAGGATTAACTTAAATTTATTAATGCCAAGGGGAAGGAAGGTAACAGTTCCTGACCCTCCAGCTGTATCCACAGTTCGGTCAGGAACAGGCTCTGCCGGAGGCTAGTGCCAGCGCTACATAGTCTGTGGTTAATGGAGGTGTCTAGGGAGGGGTGAGCACATCAGCTGCTCTAGTCTCCTTTCCTTCCCCAGAAACGAGGAAGTAGTCATGTATTGTTTTAGGAGTTCCCCTGCCCAGCCAATCCTCTCAAATTTGGAAGCAATCAGGTACAAGTTTTCTTTTTCCTTTTCACCTCCTGGAGTCCTGGGTTTCCCCACATCTCCCCTGCCCCTCCCACTTTTCCACAGTCCAAGGGCCAGAGTAAATGAAAATACAGCAGCCACCCAAGCGATGGGGACCATGATGAGGCTTCAGTCATCACCATCTTCGCTGGAGTCTGAGTTGGCTGGCATCATAGGATCATCAATGAGTGAGAAGTCCCTTTCTGAGCTGTCATAGCCCTGAGATAAATCATCATCATCTTCATCCTCATCGTCCTCATCCTCCTCAGGTTGCAGTGGTGGCAACCTCAAGGCAGTACCAGAGGTGGTAGTGGCTGGTGAAGAAGGGTAGCCAGTGGCTCTCAGGCCTGGATGGTGATGGTGGTGATGGTGGGGGTGGGGGTGGTGGTGGTGGTGATGAAGCATGGTGCTGGAGTCTACATGAGGGGATGATGCTGCACCACCCATCACAAACGGCATAAAAGGCAAAGACGCAGAAGTGGCACTGCTGTGACCCAGAGATGACACAGACTGCAGGCCACTACTGCTGTGTTGGAAGGTATTATGCAGAGACAGGGACCCAGTGCCTCCACCCTGCATCAGGGCCATCATCTTAGAAAGGTCTGGTCGCATCCTACGGGCCCGCTTCTTGCTGCTGTCCGGTGCAATAGGCCCTGGCAAAACCCGGTTGAACACTGTTTCAGCATGATGACCCTGGGAGGAAGCAACAGAAGATAGTAAAAAGAAAGGAAGGAAAAAAAACAAAAGTCAACAGAGTCCTAGCATACAAATGCTTTTTCACTGAATCTATCTTTAGCAGGGGCAAAACTAGTCAGATGAGGCTTGATGGTAATGGGGAAGAGGAAAAGCAGGATGTAGCTGGTTGAAGCAATATAATGCTGAAGCCAAGAGCAAGGATTTTACACTGACACTCATGTGAACCAGAGCTTTGATTTTTTTCCATGACTACACTGTACCTTTACTCGGGCCAACCATTTCAAAATTATTCACCTTTGTAAATGAGCGGCCTGAGTACGACAGTGAATGAATCAGTACTTGCACAGTATGCTTTACTGATGGCAGGCTGTTCACATGATCTTACCATGTGAAGTACAGCATGACAGTATTGACATTTACAATACTATCCTTCATTATTGCGTCAGAGTGGGGTAAACTCAAGATAGACCAGATTACGATTCTGGATGTCTGGAACACCAAAAAGATTATGGGGTAGCTCCTTAGCAAATTTACTAAAATACGTTTTTTTCCACATTGATACAAAAACTTACATATCTGCTGAATTTTAAATTGCTTCATCTAGATGGTCTCACTGTAAATTTTGTTTAAGTTCTCTGAAGCTGGAACTTATTACTTTGCTAGACCTAAGTACAGTACTGGGTAAACTGGCAACAAACTCAGACAATTAGTACCTGTGTCTCTGGACTGGCCCAATCTAAGCCTGACCTTTCTGACCTGGAGAAAACAAACATCTCAAAACTCTATTTGTTTAGGCTTTAAAATGTCACTATAACAGCACCAAATCACTGTAGGGTCCGGTAATGATATAGTGCTAGATACGCCATCAATTCTGCAGCAAGAATTCTGTACTAATCACATTATAATTTTCTGTGATTTCCTATGATCTTTTTTCTTAAGAGTTATCAACTGACTGTAAAGAAGTGCAAAAGTACTTGAGGTAAAAATAGGTAATCCTGGAGGAAAAGCCTTCCTTACAGGCTGCTCTATAATGTTAAATTCAAGACAGAGAAGGTATCAGTCTCCTCGCCATCAGCCTCCCGTATCAGCCATTCTGTGTATTACACCCTTGGTTCCATGGAGGCTAAGAGCGTAAATTAAAACACTCTTCCATGGTAACGATATTTATATGAAACCACTTTCACCAATATAAAAATAATAAATAAGCCTTATAAATTCACCTCACAAATAAATATATATTATGTGCAAAATAATGTCCTCAGAATTTGTTGAATGCAAAAGACATATTTTTCATTTGGAAATGAATTTTGTTAAAAGATAAACCATGTGGTTTTATGTATATATCACATACATATAAAGATATATATAAAAGATCAAATGGGAATGATTAGATAAAGTGAGTAGACAAAGTGCTAATCCATTTTAAATGCTTACCAAACCAAACCATGATTTATATATGTTTATATTTAAACAATACGACTATTGTCCAAAGTAAGGCAAACAGAGCCAAGAGAAACTTTTGCAGTTATATTTTGATGGAAAAGATTATGGGTTCTTAATCCACCAAATCTATAACCACGATAAAAGTATAAGTACATCTGAAAATAATGGAATTAACTCATGACCAAAATTGTTATTATAAACTATAAAACATGATTTCCTGTCTTTTTCCATTACTGGCATATTATTAGTGGTTCTCAACCTCTTCTATGTTGGGAAACCCCATGACTGTTTTCTTTAGTAGGTCCCAAATCACTGCTTTTTTTTTCTGGCTGCATTGCATGGCTTGCAGGTTCCCCAACCAGGGATTGAACCCGGGCCCTCAGCAGTGAAAGCGCAGAGTCCTAACCGCTGGACCGCCAGGGAATTCCCCAAATCACTTCTAAAATATATAGAATCATAAAACTTTTAAGAGATTATCTGCTTCAAACCCCTCAACTTTTCAGGATATGCAAATTGAAAAAGTTAAAGGATCTGCCTAAAATCCCCTAGTCAGTAGAACAGCAGGATAAGGCCTTGAATTTTCTAACACGTTAATAATTCTTTTTTTTTTTTTTTGCGGTACGCGGGCCTCTCACTGTTGTGGCCTCTCCCGTTGTGGAGCACAGGCTCCGGACGCACAGGCTCAGTGGCCATGGCTCACGGGCCCAGCCGCTCCGCGGCATGTGGGATCTTCCCGGACCGGGGCACGAACCCGTGTCCCCTGCATCGGCAGGTGGACTCTCAACCACTGCGCCACCAGGGAAACCCACTAATTCTTACATTTTAACATGCCTCAAGTGCTAAAGTTAGCTTTTAGAATTTTATGCTGTTCTAGAGATGACGATGCCACAGGACTGTAAAAATACCAGTAAAAATACTATGGTTTCTTTCTTTGTGAACTGAAGATAAATTTTCTCAAACATACGCTGGAAGAAAGATAAATAACATTAAATAATTTCTCTAGTCATATCTAGTGTGGGAACAGAGTGGTAATACCTCAAATCTCACTCACCCTTTTTCCATTCCTAGAGTTAGCTGTCTGTACTGGTTCCATTCCCAAACAGTTCAATTCTGCCTTATTATTTTTTTTACATCTCTGCCACTTCTGTTTTCTGCGATCCTCCATATACTGCAATAGAAAAGCTGCAGTTATCCTAAAGGAATAAAAAAATCTTCTCTGGAGTAATCATTAAGGTACTAGTGTCTACTTTGACCATAAATGCTTATTGTGTGGATAAATTAAATATTAGTCCTACTGGAAAACTGCCATGAGGCAGACTTCTCCAAAAAAATTAGGTCATTATGTAATAGTTCAATGGTAAATATTTGCCTAGCATTTAGTTTAACAAGTACTGTAACATTATTTGGATCCTCACAACAACTCTGTGAAGTAGGAAGACTAAGTACAATTACTCTTATTTTGCCGATGGAGAAACAATGACATAATATATGGCATGCTTCCTCCCTCTCACACAGCTTAAATACCAAGGGAATGACTTTAAATCTTGCTGCATGGAACTGCCACTCACCGCTAGAAATCGGGGATCGACAGCGAACTCTGGATGACCCTGTAACCACATCTCCAGTTCAGCCCGGCGAGGGGCATCCTCACCCACCAGCAAAGTCCCATCCACCTTATTGATGACAGGGATCCGGGTCTCCAGGTCCACATCAAGGTGATTAGGCTCTTCCATGCACTCCACCTCCAGCTGCAAACCCAGAATCCACCCCCATGAGCACATACTCTTCTTTTGGGTAGGGAGGGAGGGGGAGCAAAGCCAATGGTAGCCATAAAATAGTATCTTCTACTCCCTCAATCCCAACTGCCTTCATCAATTACTGGGAACAAAAATATTTTATCTAATCATCATATTAAAGACTTTCTCTACCACTTACCTCAACTAGCTTCTTTCTGTTCCCTTTCTTCTTATGAAAAAGAGGATGTCCATCTCCCATTACTCCATTAGCCATCAACTTGTGCTTCTGGAATGTTAACTTCAATCCTTCCTCCTAGGAAGACAACCCACCCACCCAAGACATCATATGGCATGTTTTTTTTTTTGTTTTTTTTTTGCGGTACGCCGGCCTCTCACTGTCGCTGCCTCCCCCGCCACGGAGCACAGGGTCCGGACGCGCAGGCTCAGCGGCCATGTCTCACGGGCCCAGCCGCTCCGCGGCATGTGGGATCTTCCCAGACCGGGGCATGAACCCGCGTCCCCTGCATTCGCAGGCGGACTCCCAACCCCTGCGCCACGAGGGAAGCCCTATATGGCATGTTTTTAAAATAAAAATCAAGTTTAGGGGGACTTAGGGTAAGAGTCATCCTCTGGTTCAATGATGGTGAGAAGAAAGGCCATTGACTAATGGGTAGAAATTAGAAATACAAGAAGACATATCATTTTTTCCTTAGATTTCATTTCTTGACCTAGTGCCCCTCAGGTAGATTTAAGAGAAGTAGAATTTATCTCAACAACACCCAATGCAGGGAAAAGATCCCCTACCTGGTGTCTCAGTATTAGCATGGCAACTCATCACAGGGGCAAAATCCTGATATTCCTGTCACATACTAATTTCAAAAAATTTTCTTATTGAGTACTTAATGACCAGCTGCTAGGGTTCATTAGGGAAGAGCATCAGGAAAAATAAAATTTTCCATCCATAAAACAATACTGATTTAATTTCAGTAGGAATGATTCCTTTTTATTTTTAACTTAGTAAGGCCCATAATACTTGGGCATCACTTTAATAGCTTTTCCACAGTTTGATTTCAATTTTTAAAAACTAGGTTTCTAGGCTCCAGAAATGAGCCAATCAAAAGAACCCTTGTGTCAATTAAATTTCTTTTAAAGATATGGTTTCTTTTAATCTAGTCCTCAGGAGATACAAGTCAAGATAAGATCCCTTCCTTTAGTGCAGTGACTTTTCCTAAATGGATCTTTGTGAGCGCTTTTTTCTTCTCCTCTCATTTTTAAAGTCAGTGGACCAAACGAGCTTAGTATTATGTTCGGACAGCTAGTCAGCAAGAATTACAGACTCCTTCCTCACTTCCCAGTGCCTAGATGCTCAGCTTACATCTTTGATCTGAACTGTAAACTCCTTCTCATCCATGCCTCGGCGAAGTTTGGTGAACTGAGCTGCCGCTGTGGTGACGGCGGACACTTCCTCCTCTGCCATGGAAGCTGCGCTGCTACTTCGTGGTGTGGGGACCGGAGAGTCACCATATTCTCCTGGAGTCAATGAGGGACTGTCTAGCAAGTGGTTGCCTGACCCCAAAATTCCTCCTGTTACCATTTCTTGGCTCCGGCGGCTAGAAGGCCACTTCCCTGAGAGTACGGCCTGGCAGACGAGGTCAATACGGTTTATCAGGACACGATCCTGAGTGGGGAAAAAGAAATCAGTTAGGGCCTGAGTACTAGCTATGCGATCCTGTGACAAAAAATAGTTCCATCATTATCAGGTTAATTAAAAATCGTAAGTCAGACAGGAGGGAGGTAGGAGTATCAGATCCCAAAGTCAACTGGGAAGAGTTTCACGAAAAAGACATGTAGCACTAAACACAATCAAAGAAACCCAGAACCATCTATTATTCCTTGTTCTCTGTATATGTCACACTGTATTTTTAGACTCGACATGTCCAGGAATGAGGCTGTTACCTTGGGCCACTCAGAAGCTCTTTGTCTTTCTTGTAGCAGCAGCAGCTCAGGGGTCATTTGTTCTCCATCTTCATTTGCGAATCCATCTTGGGACATAGGGAGGGACAGGAGACTTTCTTCATCATAGAGCTTTGAGCGGGACCGGTCAGCGGCTAGAGAGCATACAGAATGTGTGAGCAAAGGTGGAAGAATAAAGTTATATAGGAATGGTATTACATGGGCTTTAAATAAAGGCCCTAAGAATAACAGATCTCCTTCGATATTCTATCAAATCAAAATCTGAATCTCAGAGGATGCATTTAGAAAAGAAGGGAAAGAGCAGTGGGGGGGGGGGAATGGGGAAGAGGGCCAACAGCCTGTCACATGCACTCACTTAGCTTCTCTTCCTTCTCGTCCTCACTCTCATCAGTGCTGGAGCTGGAGCTGGATGAGGATGAGGAAGAAGAGGATGATGGTGACAGCTTGCTCAAGTCCAGCTCAGAGTCTGAATCATCCTCATCCTCCAGTTTGACTGGTGGAACACTCCGGGAAACCAGAGGGGTAGTATCAGAGGGGGCTACTCGCATCTCATAGTCTTGTGGGGTTGGTCGGCTCCTGGCCACCACCTCATGCTCTAGCTTTAAAGTCAGACTCTCCAGACTGGGGACCTGGGCAGCTGTCTCCTCAGGTGGCTTTTCAACAGGAGCATCTGGGCGCAGGGGCAGTGGTGAGGCAGTGCGCGAGGTATACTGCTGGTGTAGCAGTGGAGTAGAGCAGCGTGATAGGGATGGAGCGGGTGCTCCTGCCTGATGGTTCTGCATATAATTCATACGGGCAGCCAGAAAAGAGAAGTCTGGGTCCTGCATGATGTTGCAGTCTGTTTGGCTCACCCCATGGCGGGCTGCCCCTCGTAGAAGCTCCCCATCATGCCGAACGGGCTCCCACCATTTAGGCAATTCAGGACCTGGAGGCTGACATAATGCCAGCCGATCTTCCAAAAGAGGGTGGCATAAAACTTGTTCCCGTAAGCGCCGAAGCAATTCAATACGGTAGAGAGTCCGTGAGGCCCTTTCCTCAGTGATGGGCTCAATGAACAGATTAGGGTCTGGGGGTTCTGCAAGAGATAAGGGTGGAAGAAGAAATGAACCAAGAGTTGGTTCTGTCACAGTCCATCCCCACTCACCCAAGACGCTTCAGTCTTGCTTACCATCTCCAGCTGCTGGGGGAAGGCGGCACACTTGGCGGCACATGGCCACAAAGCCATGGAAATACTTGGTAAGGCTTTCATCTGTTTTTTTGTCCAGTCGGGCAAAAGTGCGGAATCGATCCCAATGGAACTGCATGGTATCGGGGTCATACTCCACACCAAAGGTAGAAACTACTCGATAGAAATCAGTTTGTTCACGCCTTGTCCATCTACAAAGGGAAGAGGAATCAGGCAACAGTGATCAGAACACAGGGAATGGTTACTTCTTAGTATGGCTTAGAATATCTGAATGCACAAAAAATGAAAGTTGGGGCAAAAAAAAAAAAAAAAAGCCAGTAAACCCCCAATACAAGAAAAAGAGGTAGGAAGAGTTACTCTGTAACATGTAAGAATTTAAGAATTAGCAAGCTAAGGGGGAAAATGATGCAAACAACTCAATGAGGATGCCTACATATGAGATCTTCCTGGGAGTTATGATTAAGTGTGGTTTTATGTCGTAGAGGTGTAACAAAGACAAAAAAGATGGTCCCTCTTAGGGAATTCCAAATAATCCTTCCTAAGATGCTTTTCAATATAGGGCCCATAGCTGAAGACAAGCTTACAGCTCAGTTCAAATTCCCAGCCATATTTTACCGTTGCTGTTTCTCCCGCCGTGCAATTTCTTTTAGCTTGAAGGCTGCCTCACAACGCCGCCTTCTCCGATCCCCACGTTCTGCAGCCTCTATCTTCATCTGTTCTCTCTTGTAGCTGCGCTGATAGGCTGTTACTAGGCGCCGAAGCCTAGCTGTCAAAGCAGAGCCTGGAGGCCAGAATAGATGGCCTGGCTGTTGGGTCACCTGGGCTGTGGGCAGCAAAGTAGAATAAACAGGAAGTACAGGAAAGGTAGTAGAGATAACTGGTATTTCAACCCACCCAAAGGCAAAGCTCTCTGGTATCCCAGGAAAGGACAGAATTCAGTCAGTCCCCCAACCCCACCACCCCACACAAAATTATACTAGTTGACTTAGAAGTTTACCTTCATCTCCATCTATAACTGAGATCTCCTCATCCATCATCATCAAGGGATCACCCTAGAGAAGATCCACCCCACAGGATGGAGAGGGGAGGAAAAGGGGGTAAAATTGGCACTCTGAAATCACTTTCTCGTGTGTGTCTTTCTATGGCACCATGGGATCCAGAAAATTTTCTCATGAAAGGAACTCTCACAGAAAATTGGAAGCAACCAACTAAGAGAATATGAAAATAAAACCTGAAAAGTCAGTCCTTATCAAAGGCTTGAAGACAGTGGGACTCAGGAATCAAGTAGTCAAATAATATACTTCATTGTCCAGCTTGGGTCCCACCTCCTCCACAAAGCCATACCTGATCTCCCCCAGCTGGTGTTAAAATCCTTTCCATTAATACTTTATAGTCTCAGATGGTCTTTCCATTTTGTATTATAAATTAATCAATATACTTCATGATTCAGGGAATAGGAGAATACTATTTAGTAATAGAGAAAAGCTGGACTCAAATGAGAATTCCTCACCTCATCATCTTGATCCTTTGGGGGACCCTGGAGTGGTTTATATTCAGGATCTTCACAATCTTTATCAAAGTCAACCCTAAAATCATCCAGAGGCGTGAGAAAATGACGAAGTTCAGTTCTAAATTGTTTGACTTTAAAAGAAACACTTTGACCAGCAATTTCCTTTCTCTTACTAGCTCTTTTTATTGTTTAACCCATTTTCCCCCTCCTTCCCAACTAGTATTTACTTTTATTACTTCATTTGAATGGTCTATGCTTGCTTATTTTTACTATTGATACTTTGCTCTATTGAGTAGAAGGATGATATAATAAATGATTTGCAATAAATAAACAATCCAATTTCCTTTGAGGGTCCTATACTAGGCAAACTGAGGTTGTGATCATCAAAGAGAAATCTCTCAATCACAAAGGACTGGGACGGTATTCATGAGCGAAGCCAACTATTTCACATGCCCCTCAGGTCTCCACGTGAGAAGTTTTGTTAAACTCATTGGCACCCAAACCAGGGCAACAATGCCCTACCTGGTGGCTCAGTATTAGCATGGCAACTCATCATCGAGGCATGTATCCAGGCAGAGTAACACCTTTATGTGTCAGCCGCCACTGGGAGATAAACCAGGGCTAAAATTTCCTGAGGCTCTATCATATAAGTGGCATGGGATTGCTGCATGACTACTACCTTTCAAGAGAACCAGTTATCTTCTCAGCTACTACGGCTGTACAGAAAAGCATTGCAAAGAAAACTGAATAGAACGTCAAATAAGCCATTTGGGAATAACATTAATTTTCACCCTTAGTTGCATCAGACTGCAATGTATGGTTTTAGGCCAGTTTATGGAGACCTTTCTGCTGGTTTCACTATTTGTTTAGAGTTTATCATTCATGAGTATAACCACCATTAAGAATCCGAATGGGGCTTCCCTGGTGGCGCAGTGGTTGAGAGTCCGCCTGCCGATGCAGGGGACACGGGTTCGTGCCCCGGTCCGGGAAGATCCCACATGCCGCGGAGCGGCTGGGCCCGTGAGCCGTGGCCGCTGAGCCTGCGCGTCCGGAGCCTGTGCTCCGCAACGGGAGAGGCCACAACAGTGAGAGGCCCAAATCCCCCAAAAAAAAAAAAAAAAGAATCCGAATGGGTTCAGTCAAGGCTAGAGTTATGTTATCTTAGTACAAGCAACAAATACCCTTCATAGGGTGGACACAGAGCTTTAAGAGAACTAAACACTAATGCTTACCCTTCCACTATGTCAGAAAAATTATCCAACACTCGATGTTCTGCTGCAATGGCTTTGTCATCTGGTCGGCCAGCCTTTTCCAGGAAGCACAAGGCTGGGTCTGCCCTCATAGTATTATATTTTTCATAGCCTAGAAGAAAAAGAGCCATAATTTGAAGAAAATCAGAGATTCATTTTGCCTTTATGTAAGTAAGCTTCGTATGCTGCTGCAATAACAATGTGGGCTACTTTGGTATCATAATGCAAAATATAGTGAAAATTTTAACTTGGATAGCTGTTGGGTTATAGTACGATATTTAACATTTCTACAGCAATTTAGAGTCACAAGGAGTTTTATCACTAGTTACTGAAAACAGGAATTTAATCGGTGTTTATAGAGAATGGTAATAGATTTACTTAGCCATTTAACGGGTAATATTTTATCATCATTCTTACTATCAATACATAAGTGAGGAAATTTTAAAAGTTTAAATGATTTAGAACTAGGTCACACATTTTCAAATAAAGGATAAGAGATCTGCACCTGCAAACAAACAGGCACTCTGAATGTTTGATGAATGATGAACACACTTCAGGATGTTTGGACTCTTCTAAAGCCTCTGTGTCTTACAAGTAAATCTAAGACTACAAATGCTCACAGTTTTTCCTATCCAATTAAACATGTCAAAAACGTGAATTAAGTGCCACTACTTTTATTTTATAGAAGTAAATGTGGAAGTATATTAAAAAAGAAATGATATTCCAATTCACTAAGTCACTAGGCTGGAAGTTAGCACTTACTGCTTTTAATGCCTGGAATTTGTTATTAGGCAAGACTGAAAAGGGAGTTTTCTCCCTTTTTATACTCTATTTTTGTTTTACTCAAGCATGGTTGTTCACAACTATGTGAGAGTAACCGCTGAATATTTAGACAAATAAGATGTTATACAAGAAGAACACTTTCAGCAAGCCACAGGAAAGTGATACAATTTAAACATGGTTATTATTAACAAGAGTGGACATGCATTATTTCCCCGGATTGTGGAAGCTTAACTTAGATACCACTACATACAGATTGGTAACAGTGATTAGAGAACAAATGGGAGACTCCCTACCTTGGGATTTAACTATCCATCTGGTCTTTCTTAAACATTTATTCATAGGAACTAATGGCTCTGGATATTTAAGGACTAGTTTCCCATTCAAACATAATTACTGGTCATGAGCATTTTGCTAAATATCCCATCTGTGGACATAAATCTACAATGGGAAAAGAACAGACTAAGAGCAGATACCTACCATGCTTAAAGACTCCAATGAGCAGGGACTTATCAGCCTCACTGTCCCACCATGTTGTTGGAACCTCCAGCTGATCCACTACTGGGAACCATATGTCAATCTCACTAAAGGTATAAGAGGCAGAGTCAGCATAGCAATGCAGGAAATTAAAGTAGACAATCCTTGGGAAGATTATTACAGGTATCTTCTTTTATCTATTAATTTAAATGGTCATACATCTGCCTATTTCCTTCCACTGGTATCAAGAACAGCTGTCCCTCAGTATCCACAGGGGATTGGTTCCAGGAGTCCCCCCAGATACCAAAATCCATGGATGTTCAAGCCCCTTATATAAAATGGTGTCGTACGATGAATACAGTTGGCCCTTCATATCCATGGATCCAACTAACCATGGATCAAAAGGATGCAAAGCCCATGGATACAAAAGGCCGACTGTACAGGACTGAAGACCTGATATACAGATCTTAATTATCAGGTATCCCCAAAATAGTTTAGAATGAAATAAGTACACCAATCTTTTCTGGAATAAGCCATGGCATAAAGAAAAATACAGCATAACTTTACCTGGCAATAGCACCCCCTAACACCTTCTCTGCCTGGTCTCCAATAACCTCCTGTCTCAGATAGTATAGCATTCGTACCCGCAACAGGACCCTAGAAGGGATAGAGAAAGAACTGGCTCAATAATAATGTAGAAAGCTTGAGGTGGAAAATGCTTTAGTATGTTAAATTCCATCCTTACTTGTTACACTGATGTTTCAAGTGCTTCTTATAACTCTCATCTTGGAACAGAGTATCAGGGTTATATTTCCGGATCCAATCTGCCTTATGGATATCAAAAGTGCTTTGTGACTTTACTTTTTTCCCCTTGCGTCCACGGGGCACAGGGATAGACAGACCTGGGAAAGGGGATACATCGAAGACTTGGATTGAGAAAAACCCTTGGACCTGAAGAGGATTAGGTAACCTATAAAAAGATGAAAAGCAAAGACTTGATAATCACCTGAATGATTCTGCAATTCTTTTGTCTTGCCATTTTCAGCAGGGCTAATCAAGTCCCAGATGAAGCCTTTGATATTTTCATCCCCACGATAGTGTAAAAGACAGTACACAAGGATGGCCCGGCAAATCGTTTCCACATCTCTTTCAGTCATCCGTCGCTTGAAGCGTCCATGAGACAGAATATCTCGCCACCGTCCCCAACTTAAAAAAAAAGCCAAAAAAAGAAATTATACTGATATTTTCCTGGGGACTCTAATTCAGTGATATTCCCCAGTCCCTCAGAATCGCGTTTCCCAAAAGGTGGGAGACAAAAAGATCTTGGAAAAACATGGTAACAGAATAAAGTTTTTCCCATTATCCCCTCTTTGACCATAGCTTCCAATTTGAAAAGCAAACTAGGTGCCTATCAGGATGGAGATGAACTACCTCTGATGGCAAGGTGGGTTCTTACCCATATACCAGGAGATGCTTTTCCACCCGAAAGCAGTCAGTGCGCCCATAGGTATGATGACGGTCATGTCGGCGAGAGCGTGGCCGCTCATCATCTTCACTTTCCAAATCAGAGAATTCCACTAGGTCATCATCTTTCAGAGTGCTGAAGTGGCGGGTCTGTTTTCGTACTCTAGGTGTGTCAATCACCAAGTTATTCTATGCAGAGAACAAAAGGAGAAGTAACTCTCTTCACGATATGATCATGGGAAAGGAATTAAAGACAATCAGATTGAAATAGCCTTGGATGTAACATTTGTAGATACTCAAAGAGAGATTCTTTTTTGGACATGCAAAATAATCTACGGGTACTCAGGAAGCAAAATTAAGTGGTAGTTATCTAAGTAGTTTTCTGGGGCCTCCTGTGTAGAAAGTTTTTATCATGGCCCTTGTATATACCATTATAAGCCAAGGTCAGCACTGAAGAATCAGAGCAGCTATAAAGACTCCAGAAAGTAACGTGTTTTCTGCAATACTTCCTCCCTAAAGGAGAAGGAAGCTCACCTTGCTATTGAGTAGATCCATGTCCAGGTCAGCCTTTTTGGCCCACTTTTGCCAAAAGTTGGGGTCATCCAGAGAAATATCAGTCCTATTTTCAGAAGCCACAAAGCTTGCCTAGTGAGGAACAAAGAAACGGTAAAGTTGACTACACCACTTTTTTGAACAATGGGAAACCAGTATATTTAAAAACTACATTGAAAAAATACATTCAATTCTAGAGAGCCCTGTCTCTCTCTCTCTGCTTCTTCAGCCGCTGGCACCGACAGAACATACCTTGGCAAACGTAGAACCCTTTCCTTCAGATTCAATGGTGATGGTAGTGGTTCGTCTTAACAAGATCTGGTCAATGTCCTCTTCACAAAACTTGGAGCCCTCGTCATCTTCCTCCATTATGGCTGCATATGCTCCCTTCCGTAAGAGATCTTCAATCTCCTTCTTGGAGAACTGCTGGATCTACAAAATCCAATAGAAAGGTGAAAAAACTACAAGAGAATATTATCTAACCATATCATGACATTTTATTATATTTTAAGAAACAATAATTGAGAACCCAAATGAGAGGTCAGGATCCTATGCAAAAATAGCTTTTGTCTCCCTCCATCACTATGACATGTTACAAGTATAGCTAGAGATTAAGAAGACTCACTCCAGTAATGTTGCCATCCCGACCACTCATGGACTGAAGCACAGCTTTATCCAATCCTAACTTGAGGCTAGCCTTATCAAACATCTCTCTCTCATAAGAATTACGAGTGATGAGACGGTACACCTTCACAGCTTTACTCTGCCCAATTCGATGACACCGTGCTTGGGCCTGGTGGAAGGAAGGGCAAAGATAACATAACATTAGAGGGACTTCCCTGGTGGTCCAGTGGTTAAGAATCCCCCTTCCAATGCAGGGGATGCGGGTCCGATCCCTGGTTGGGGAACTAAGATCCCACGTGCCACAGGGCAACTAAGCCCGTGCGCTCTGGAGCCCGTGTGCCACAACTAGAGAAGCCCACATGCCTCTACAAAGATCTCGCGTGCTGCAACTAAGATCCCGCGTGCCACAACTAAGACCTGATGCAGCCAAATAAATAAAATAAATTAATTAAAAGAAACAAAAAACATAACATTAGAGGGGGTGGGGGGAGAAGGATTCAAAACACCAATTTCCATCTATAAAGCAGCCATGAAATCAACTCAAAATCAAAAGTCAACTACAAGATGAAATTATTGCCCCATCATCTAGACCAGGGGTCAGCAAATCCTAGTCACCTGTTTCTGTAAATAAAGTTTTTGCTGAAACACAGCTCTACCCATTTACTTACATATTGTCTATAGCTGCTTTTGTGGTACAAGAGCAGAGGTGAGTAGTTACAACAGAGGCTGTCTGATTTACAAAGCCTAAAATATTTACTGTCTGGCCCTTTACAGAACAAGTTTGGTAACCTAACGAACAATTCTATACTCTCTAAGAGACAAGACTTTCTAAGAGATCCTGATCCTGTTGCAAAACCTCCCAGGTTAGGTGATTAGTCCCTAAGACAATGATTTCCTTTACCTGCAGGTCATTTTGCGGATTCCAATCTGAATCAAAGATGATGCAAGTATCAGCAGCTGTGAGATTAATTCCAAGTCCACCAGCCCGGGTGCATAGCAAAAAGACAAATCGGTCTGAGTCAGGCTTGCTGAAGCGGTCAATAGCAGCCTGCCGAAGGTTGCCTCTAACTCGCCCATCGATACGCTCATACAAGTACCTGTACGGGAATCACAGGAAAGAAAGTTTAATCAGCTAAGCAGAAAAAGAGAACAAAAAAGCAGGCTGGGATTAATATCAGTACCTCTATATCTCTAGTTCACCAAAAACTTTATCAGAAAGTGGAGAGTGAGAGTCTTAAACACTTCTCTTATCCCAGTCCTGGTCAACTTTAATTAAACCCAGGCCCTCCTACTCTTTGCAGCCTTATGAGTATATAGTAAACACAAGGTGAAGAATGACTCTTTTCTTACCTCCTCTGGATTAGATAATCCTCTAGGATATCTAGGCAGCGTACCATCTGGGAGAAGATCAGAACCTTATGGCCACCAGCTTTAAGTTTCGGAAGTAACTTGTCAATAAGAACCAATTTGCCAGCTGAACGAACCATTGCCTGCAAGTGGAAGTCATGAGGTATGATATGGCAAGCTTCTCGAAATTCTGTTAGGATTTTTTCTTCTGCACCTGCCAAAAGAAAAATCACACCTGATGGTGAGATCCAGAGAAACATACAAAGGCTGCAGTTTATTTAACTGAGACAAGGAAGCAAAGAAAAAAAGGTAATCTGACTTGGTATCAATGTTACACACAGAATTTCAGCACCCCCAAAATCCTAAGTCATCCTCAATTTTATTCATACAAAATATTCCTTGTAAGTCAGGCTTAAGAACTGGGTAAAATATATGTAAGTATGTGGACAAGGACCAGAATAGTATATGCAAACCACTATTACCACCCTGCTGGCACCCAAAACACAAACAGCAAAATGGAGTACCACTGAAGACAGAACAGCATGACTTGAGTTCTTATTCATGAAATTCTAAACAGTAAATCCTTTTTAACTTTGGAGATTATGCAGGATCAAAGGGGTAGAAAGAACTACAGGAAGACTTCCAAATGAGAATTGTTTTAAAAGGAGAAATCTCCTTTATTCCCAAATTAGGATGGATCAGTCAATGCATACATTGTTCCTGAGGAATATCACTTAGAAAGTAAACAAGGTAACACAGAAATGTAAGTATTTTCCAGGAATTCCCTCACCATTGATGAGATATGGGTGGTTGCAGCATTTGCGCAACTCCATCATTGTATTGAGTAGATTAGGCATGTTAGTATGGCCTGCCCCTTTGGAAAGAAAGGAGAAATTCTTCTCCAAAATAGCCCGATAGTATTTCTTCTGAATGTTGGTCAGCTCTACTTCAATAATGGTTTCCTGCTTAGGTGCCAGGTTCTTTTCAACATCCTCTTTGAGTCTTCTCAGCATCATTGGCTTGAGAATGGCCTGTAGCTTTTGAACCTGTGCCCAATACAGAGAAAAAAGAAATCACTAACATGAGGACAAACATTCTCACATTAGGTGGAAACATGGAGAAATACCATGAGAGTTTTCCAGTATCTGAGAAAAGTAGACTTTGGACAATGCCACAAATGATGTAGGCACAAGGTTACATACAAGGAGTTCACAACAGCCCGTGATAATCTAAGACAGTAGATATCTGCCTAGTACAAACTTTACCTCTTTTTGTCCTGGGTTAGTGCTGCATTAGACAGACTTCCTACCTGTTCCTCTGTCTTGAGATCCCCAAAGTCCTTGAGGAACTCTGATTCTGACGGAAACTGTGAAGGTTCCAAGAAATGAAGCAGGCTGAACAGTTCCTCCACAGTATTTTGCAATGGTGTTCCTGTGAGTAGCACTTTGTGCTCCTAGAAATGGAGAACACAGAAGAATGATAAAACTCAGAAGGACTTCTAGGGTTTTCTATCAAGTATATAACTTTAGCTTTCATTTCTTTAACTGTAAAATTATGGGAATGGACCAGACTACTCTCTTAACTTTTCTTTTACTTGCTCCCTCTTTTGATAAAATATTCAAGAAAACCCTTGATATTATTTAACATATTAATTTATCTTAAATATTATAAGCCAATAAAGAAATATTCAGAATACGTTTTTTCCAATTAAATAGGCCTCTCCACACTCAACTCCCCACAGACATCCTAACATGTCCCCCTCTGAAGAATGTACCTGTGCTGGATTAAATATGGCCAATAATTTTCGGTAGTTCCTCCTATCAAGGTTCACCCCTTGAACATGGGCTTGCCTTGTAACTCGCTCTGACAAAGAGAATGTAGCAGAAGTGATATCATGTGAGTTTCAGAGCCTATGCCTCAAAGGCCTTGCAGCTTCCACCTTTACCCTCTTGGAACACTGCCCTAACTCTATCATGTACAGAAGCAAAGTCTGGCCCACTGGGGGTGACGGGCCACGTGGAAGATGACCCAGCCAACAACCAGCACCAACTGTCAGCTACAGCTGCATTACTGACTCCAGGCAAGACCACCAAAAGAATGGGCTCACCAAGCCCAGCCTAAGTTGCTGAGCTAGAGAATCATGAAAAACATAGCTGTTTTAAGCCACTAAGTTTTTGGATATTTTGTTATGCAGCAATAGGTAACTAATGGAATACCCAACCTCTCCACCCAGTTGAGAACCATTAACCTACAATCACCTACCAACTCTAAAATTTATATGAATTTTATGACTTTCAGGTTACCATTCCCACAAGCCATACCCACCACCCAATACCAAGACTCTGATTCTTTTCTTCTCTGCTAAATTAAGGTTATATTAATTCCACAGGGAATTAGGATTTCTTTAATTCCAGGTGTTTCTGCCCACAAGTCAGTGAGAGGAACTCACCAGGTCCATGTGCTTGAGACTATCAAGCAGCTTGCAATTACGGTTCTTTAGTCGATGGGCTTCATCAATGATGACACAACGCCATTCAATCTCACGAAGCTCAGGACAGTCTGACAAAATCATCTCAAAAGTGGTGATCAGGGCATCAAACTTGTATGCACCCGGGATGAGGCGCCCCTAAGCATGAAGGCAATAAAGTCAGAAAAGGCCTAAAACGTACCTAAAGGAGATGCTCTTCCGAATCACACATCCGTTTTTTATATTCAGGCAGGCTTAATAGAAAATACCAACTGCACCACCACCCACCTCTGCCACTGTTCATCTTCCTGATAGAACAGTGCCAAACCACTGAATCTAAGATACACTGCCTCCTGAGCACACTCAGCTTCTTGGGAAAATGACAGACTTCACTGAATGAAGCTGGACATTTTTGACTCTGCTGCATGCCTACCTCATGTATTTCAGCCCTACACCTTCTGTTGGTAAACACTAAAATCCACAAATGTTGAGTGCTGCTGAAACATACAAGATAAAACTAAAAGTGAAATAGCTAATGTAGTATGTGATAATATTGGTTACTACCTAAAACGTGGACAGAAGAATCCAATTATCTTAGCAAAATTAAGAGCAACAAAATACGACTTGAATAAATTTGGTTTGGTAGAAATAAAAACCACAGGAAACTAATGGTAGGAAAAAAAGTCTCATAAAATTCAATGTTAAGAAAAGATGGGGCTTCCCTGGTGGCGCAGTGGTTGAGAGTCCGCCTGCTGATGCAGGGGACATAGGTTTGTGCCCCGGTCTGGGAAGATCCCATATGCCGCGGAGCGGCTGGGCCCGTGAGCCATGGCCGCTGAGCCTGCGCGTCCAGAGCCTGTGCTCCGCAGCAGGAGAGGCCACAACAGTGAGAGGCCCGCATACCACAAAAAAAAAAAAAAAAGAAAGGACATGGCTTACGTTCACCACCATATGGATCAAGGAATTAATAAAGTAGCTAAATGAATTTCATTCTGGAAAATTCTTTCTCGATGAAAACATCAATGCTGATAAAACTCTATTTTAAATATATGTATTCATAAATAAAGTCAGAATTTCCACTGGATTAAAATGTCCATTGGATAAAAAGAGCGAAGTAAAAAAAAATGCCCTGCACAATCTAAACAAAAATTTTGCCTTAAATCACAGAGAGTCTCAATAAAAGTCTCTGATTCATATAAAAGCCTCTAAAATACCAGGTACCTTGGCCTACTCTCTAAACCATAATATTTGTATTACATACAACTCACCCGTGAATCTTTGCAGTACATTTCATACTGTTGAATCATCTGCCGGCTGGCCAGACTGCCATGGTACACAATAGTGTTCATCTCTGTCCACGTGTTGAATTCTCTCTCCCAGTTAGTAATTGTGGACAGTGGGGCAATGACCAGGAAGGGGCCATGGATGCCCACATTATATACCTCCTGTAAGAAGGCAATGGACTGAATGGTTTTGCCCAATCCCATCTCATCAGCCAGGATGCAGTTCTGCCTGCAGATTCATCACGGAAAAAGAAAAGCAAGTCAAAAGAGACCATCTTTTTAAAAAGTACTTAAAAAGAAACCGTTTCAACAGAAAATAAATAAAAATAATCTCAGACTAAGCCTATATGTTATGGTCCTACTCTTTTCTTTACCTGTTATACCAATTAAAGAGCAGCCAATTGACCCCTTCCAACTGATATTCCCTTAATTGGTTTCTGTTTTTATACTCATGTGACAACTCCAACTTCTTCCAGGCACTTGCTTGTGGACGATTCTAAAAAATAGAAAATTTGAATAAATGGCATGGAGACACTAACGAAATTAGGTAAACTTACTAGGTAGTTCTAATAGTTGAAGTCAATTCAAAAACATTAACATGTTAAATATATTCAAACTCATGAGTCCATAATGACACTTTTAAAAAAATAGAGGAAGAAGGAAAGAGAAAAAGCCCACTGATCACTTTTGGAGGGTGCTAAGGAAGTACTTCATTATTTTGAAACTGGGAAATAAAGGATAAGGTAAATAAATAAAGCATTTATCCTCCATTCCTATACCATCTGTACCTTAGGGTAACCAAACAGTAGGTGAAACGTATTTCTTTTTACAGAAGATTCTGTCTAATAAATGAAGAAATGATAGAATCACCATTTAAAACTCTTTAAAGAATGGATCTCAACAATGAACAAAAATGGCTATATCACAAAAGACAACCTATCAGAACCATCTATAAAGTGGATTTAGTGGTCTCCCTCCCCAACCTGACGCAGCCTCTAGAACAGTGTTATCTAATGGAACTTTCTACAAGGATAGAAAATGTTTTATATCTGCCTTTAGCCACATGTGACTACTGAGCATTTGAAATGTGGCTGGTGGCTACTGTATTGGACAGAATGGCTATAAAAAGTTCTAACAGACATTACTGCTCTACATCTAACTATTTATGTGAAATATAAGGGACAGAAAAGGTACCAAGGGGAATGTAACTGGCAAACTGACTATGGAAAACCCTAGAGAAAAATCACCTGGTTTCTTCAAGAGAAAACTGCAAAGGAGGGAGAGGAGATCAAGGGGAAACTATAATTAAGAAAGATATATATGAGATATATATTAACTAATAGCAATATATAGACCTTACTTAGAATTTAATTCAAACAATTTAACAAAAGTTAGAAGATAATCAGGGAAATACAGTGATTGCTTACTTGATGATATTTAAATTTTTTCAAGTGTAACAATGGTACTATTTATCTTTTAGACATAAACACTGAAATGTTACACATAAAATGAAGGAATCTGAGATTTATTTTAAAATAATCTGGGGAATGGAGAAATGAGTAGGTAGAGAAATATGTGAAACAAGATTGGCTATGTGTTCATTGTTAAAGTTGGGTGATGGGTACATTATACTACTTCTTCAACTTTTATATATGTTTGAAAATTTCCATAATAAAAAGCTAAAACAAAGAAAATTAAATCATTGCCTATATGAATTTTACACTCTAAATGCAGATATACTTACCACCCTTTTGAGTTCTGGGTGCCTTGACTGGATCCGTTTAAATTCTCGAATCTTGCCCTCATCAACATCCTCTTTTAGCTCCCATGTACTATCCTCATAGGGCAGAGAGCACCATTTTACCAAGTAGTAAATTACAGGCTAAGAGAGAAAAAAGCCAAAGGCTTAATGAAACGATTCTGTGTTCTCTGCCGTGATTAAAAGATAAGAATTTGACTAAAGAATCAGATCACAAAGTGTCAATATCTAGAAAGGTGCCAAAAAAGTCAGGCTGAAAACACCAGAGGCTCACCTGCTGATGCACTGTACTATTTATGGCTCTGATCCTGTTTCCAGACAATTTATCAGAACCTGAAAGTGAAATTTCTACCCAGCACTATCTAGAACACTAAGCACTGAAACATTAGGCTCATCAACCAAGCAGATTAAACAAACAAAAAAAATCCTTTATTGTGTTCAATTAGATTGAAATTGAATTGTTGAACTGAATTAATTATTGTTAATTATTGAATTAAAAGATATGGTAGCCCTGTTTCATACTATCCTCCTGGCACCAAATTTGATACAGTAGAAGCCAGGCTACTATAGAAGCAAAGAACAGGTTAAATCCATAGGAGCAGAGCAGGACTGAAATCACTGGGCTTCTGAGCTCCTGGAGCTCTCAGCGCAGATGCTATTTCAAAGAGCAGCCACATGGTGGTAAAGAGATTTTCTTGCGAGCCCCAGGAAGCTAGGAGATAACTGCAAGAGGTATCCCCGAAGAGAGCTAAGAGTGAAGAGGAAGGGGAAATGCTGAAGCTCCAACTACGGTGCTATGCTCTATGTAGGCATTCTAGTGCAAGGGACGGGGCAGTGACCAGTGGTAATATGGCTCCTATTCTCACTACTCAAGATGACTGATCACTGACCGGACTGCATTTCCATATTTGGCTTATATGAATCGAGAAGAATTAGACTGGGCCTAGTGTAATCACCAGGAAATCTCTAATTATCAACTCATAGAATACCCCTTAAAACAGCCAGCAAGAAGTATGAAGATATGCGTCTCAATAGAGATATAGATCAAGGAATACCTAGAATTAATGTAATTTCTCTTTGACCTTTTTCTTTACTGTAGTGACTCAGGTCACTTTCTACATAAAGACATTTGTCCACGTCACATATTTCCAGCACCCTTACTCTTCCGAGGACTTTAATATTTATAATAATATTTATTTCCACTATTGGGTAATGTAATAAGGATGACAAACTCATTTTGGAGAGGAGGGGGAAATGGGCAAACAATGTTTTTATCCAATACTGGGAACATAAATTACAGTACCAGGGTACTAAAACACTTTCATCTGTCATACTGGTCCCAATACATTCCAGAGGAGCCTAATCAAAGTCCAATTACTTTTGGAAGATGAAGGTGTAAGTATAGTGATAGAGAGCATAAGATTTTCAAGGCTGGGAAGGCTGAGATCCTGAAAGCGATGAGAATAATTTAACAGTAGCTAACCTGTCCTAACTAATAACTGGTCCATTCCACTCTCACCTCCCACAAATGAACAATAAGCAGTAATTCCCACCTCTAACCCCAAAAGCAGAAGATATGTTTTCTGAGGCATTCTTCTTAGGATTTAAAGACACTGAATTGTAACGGGCCTTGGACATCTAAGGTTCTATCTGAGAAATGCTGAAGGCTTATAAAATAAACTGGGAATTTTACAGAGGGAAGACTTTGACTCTTAGGTCCTGTACAGATGATATAAGGGAGCAAGTCATTTAGCTTGTGAGTGAGCCCAGCCCACCATCCAGCACTGATGTCTTAACAAGGCTCTGCTACCCACTCTGTAAGCAGTGACTGAAGTGATGACAACTTGATGAAATGTGGCCCTGCAAAGTTAAACCAACAACTATGACTTGAAGTGAGAAGAGTTCTAACAAAAAGGTGGGTCATGGCCTAAGTAAATTTAAATGAGAGCAATGCTGAATTCACTGGTGGCTTAGATCTATACAACTCTTATTTGGAAAATGAAAAAAAGTGATTAATGAAAACATATCACCTAGTGTTTCAGCATATCTAAAATCAGCTACCCAATCTAAGAAAGCTTTAGTGCTGTGGTTCCCAAATCAAACTATGCATGAGAAGCCCTTGGAGAACCAACTTAAAAATACAGATCTCTGGATCCCACCCTAGATGTACTGAATCTGAACCTGTGGGAATAGGACCTCACATCTGTTTAAAGGTACTGACACAAATGCAGTGTATCTGTTTTAGTGACAAATGAAAATGCATTTAACTGATGCTAAGTACAGGAAATAAATAATTCTCAACAACATGAAGAAAGCTATGAGTCTATGCAAGTATTTTTATATTCACAAATTTGGAGATTCGTAAAGTATCCCTTTCTCCATCCCCACCTCTCACTCCCAACTGAAGGTCAAGGGTCTCCCATATAAAATCTGTGAGAAAATGAGGCCAAGGTTAATGAGTCTTTGTAAAACAGCTCCCAGATATTTGAGAATCTTTCGTTTTAGCCTCTCTCTGTTCTCCTTTACCTTCCCAGTATCATTCTAAGTACCTCTCAGAAAAATTCAAAAGTACCTTTTCAGTCCAAGAAATTTTTCAGCCATATCTGAAAAATAAAGGATGGGCAAGCAGACAGGCAGAAATCTTTAAGAGGCCTTTCATGTTCCTCCACGCCCCAACTCACCTCCCCATTGTCCTTGTCAATGCTGTGAGACTCATCCAATATCCTATCCACCTCTACATAGTCTGGGTTGAAGGGCTCTTCGTCCTAGAGGAATTATGAAACCAAACAATAAGACCAAAAGATCACTGTCCAGGGAACACACTCCTCCATGCAACCTTTAGCTGATAACCCTACTTCAAAATTTATTAAGAGAAAAGAAGGGAGTTCCCCATTTTCATAATACCACATCCTACACACTTACCTGTATTTGCATCTATCCTCTTGCCTGTTACCAGATAAAGTGTCACTACTCCCTAACAGAGGCCATTCTCTCCATATATGCTTTGGATTCCATTCCTTCTTGCCTTCTTAGGAATCTGTCTCTACTGGAGCATGCCCATAACATACAACCATGCTTGACTATTTCTCATCTTTTCTTTAATTAATTAATTTATTTATTTTGGCTGCGCTGGGTCTTCATTGCAGTGCGTGGGCTCTTCATTGTGGCACACAGTCTTCTCTAGTTGCGGCGCACGGGCTCTCTAGTTGCGGCATGTGGGCTCTCTAGTTGCGGCACGCAGTCTCTCTAGTTGCGGTGCGTGGGCTCTAGAGAGCATGGGCTTAGTTGCGGTATGTGGGATCTTAGTTCCCCAACCAGGCAACTTCACCTTAGTTCCCCAACCAGGCAACTTCACGTCTTAAAAAGACCTCCCTGACTCTACATCCCCCTCCAACTATTCTTTTGTTCTGCTTCATACCCAAACTTTTCCAAGAGTTTTAAACACACAGTACCTCCATTTCATCACTTCCTTCACTTACGTGTCCACCCATTCCACTCTTCTTTCTACTTCCATCACACAATGAAACTACTCTTGTCGAGGTTATTAATGATCTCCAAATTGCCAAACATAATGGAAACGTTTCTGTACTCACCTTAATTTACCTATACAAAGTATTAAACAATTCATTATTCTCTCTCCAAAGCACTCTCTTCCCTAGGCTTTTCTGAGACACCATATTCTCTTCGGTAGCCTTTACTTTGGTTTCACTTTTTGTTTTGGCCAATTCTCAGTCACCTTCACTGGCTCTTTTTTTCCTAAGTCACTGGTATCCAACTTTGGGTGGTATCCCAAGATAAATAACCCAAGGCTTCAAAGAAAGATCTCAAAGAAACCTTAAGGAAAAAACTCTTTCTTTCTTAAGACACTTTCCCCCTGATTTTTGTGACATATCTTTTTCCTAACCTTTCTCCTACCACTCTGGCAAACAGTCCCTTCTTCACCTGGTCCTCTAAATTTGTGAGAATTGTTTAAGGATTGGCCCTGGGCTTACATCCATTGCCTTATAGAAAGAAATTTTAAAAAGTACAGAACTATTAGAAAGTATAGAACTTTCCCCAGGGTGACTCTATTCATTATTAAGGCTTTAATAATTATGTATATGCTGATACATTCCAAAGTTAAATTGCAGCCTAAAAAATCCAGATGTGTATATCTATCTCCTTGATAGAAATGTGTTACAGAATTTTAAGCTTAACATGGTCTAAACTAAAATCTTGATTTTCCCCAAATCAGTTGCTTCTAAAATCTTCCATTCTTGAATAAATGACTCTACCTCAAGCCATTTGCTCAGACCAGAAACCTATCTATATAAGCCATCACACCAGATCCTGTCAATTCTACTTTAAAGTAAACTCAAATCTATCCATTCTCTCTAACCACTGAAAGCACTCTGCTATAAGCCTTAATTTCTCATCTAGAAAACTTCAACAGCCTCCTTACTGCTCATCCTACTTTCACGCTTACTCTTCTCCAATCCAAAGTCTAGATGATCTTTTTTTAAAATAAATTTATTTATTTATGGCTGTGTTGGGTCTTCGTTGCTGTGCACAGTCTTTCTCTAGTTGTGGCAAGCGGGGGCTACTCTTCGTTGTGGTGCGCGGGCTTCTCACTGCGGTGGCTTCTCTTGTTGCAGAGCGTAGGCTCTAGAGCGCAGGCTCAGTAGTTGTGGTGCACGGGCTCTGTTGCTCTGCAGCATGTGGGATCTTCCCGGACCAGGGCTCGAACCCGTGTCCCCTGTGTTGGCGGGGAGATTCTTAACCACTGCGCCAACAGGGAAACCCTAGATGATCTTTTAAAAATGAAAATTGGGGCTTCCCTGGTGGCTCAGTGGTTGAGAGTCCACCTGCCGATGCAGGGGACATGGGTTCGTGCCCCAGTCTCGGAAGATCCCACATGCTGCGGGGCGGCTAGGCCCGTGAGCCATGGCTGCTGAGCCTGCGCGTCCGGAGCCTGTGCTCCGCAACGGGAGAGGCCACAACAGTGAGAGGCCCGCGTACCAGAAAAAAAAAAAAAAAGAAAATTGGATGTGCTTTCACCTGTTTTAGATAGTCCAGTGGTTTCCCCCTTTGCACTTAGAATAAAAACAAAACTAAAAGGTCTATAAGCACCTGCTTGCCTAAATTTCTGATCTCATTTCGGGCCACTCACTCTCTATCGTACATCAATCCCACTGTCCTTTCAGTTCCTCATCCTGTCTCAGGGCTTTCATATATTGCTATTTCCCATGCCAGGGATACTATTTACATGTGTTCATGGTCTTGCTAACTCATTCATAATTCAATTCTCAGTGAAGTCTTCACTGATTATCCAAAGTAGGCATTTTTTTATTAGGTCTTCCTGTGCTCTTTCTTTCCTGGCACTTACCACAATTTGAATTATTTTTAAATCTCTCTCTCTCCCCATTAGACAGTGAGCTACATGAGAACACAGACCATGTGTGATTTGTTTACCATAGTGACTAGCACATAATAAACAATGAATAAATGAATAATTTATTTGGTTAAATGGCCTACCTATAAAGGCAAAACTGGCATACAAGTCAGTTAGCAGAGCTTGGCTCAAGGGTCACAAATTATATATCTAATACCAACTGGAATGGGATTAGTTTCATCATACATTTCTCAAATTAGGCTTTAAAAGAACACAGACCAAAAAACAAAGAAACCCCCACGATGCAATTATCATTATTTTCATATAAAAAGATATTATAAAACCTACATGGCCCGACTTGCCCTCTCCAAGTGATGTGGAAAGTAACTCATTTATTGGCAAACCTGGTGATATAGTTTTTTCAGATGTATTTGGCCACAGCTGGGTTTTTTGCTGAAGCTATACATTATTCCTTCTTTCACTCTTTCTTACTAGCTCCTCTTTAGGTTTTTTTTTAAAATTTATTTATTTATTTATTTATTTTTTGGCTGCATTGGGTCTTTGTTGCTGCACGTGGGCTTTCTCTAGTTGTGGCCAACGGGGGCTACTCTTCGTTGCGGTGCGCGGGCTTCTCACTGCAGTGGCTTCTCTTGTTGCAGAGCACGGGCTCTAGGCGCGCGGGCTTCAGTAGTTGTGGTGTGCGGGCTCAGTAGTTGTGGCACGCAGGCTCAGCAGTTGTGGCACATGGGCTCTAGAGTGCAAGCTCAGTAGTTGTGGCGCACGGGCTTAGTCGCTCCACAGCATGTGGGATCTTCCCAGACCAGGGTTCAAACCCGTGTCCCCTGCACTGGCAGGTGGATTCTTAACCACTGTGCCACCAGGGAAGTCCTCCTCTTTAGGTCTTAAGAAGCTTTGAGAAAGAATTCTTCTTCTCAAGGCACTCAGTAATGAAAAATCCCATTTTGGGAAAGGTATATGTATACAAAGCTTTCAAAGCAAAATCGAGAGTTAAAATACAGCTCAAGAGACCCTTACAGATGTTCCAGTACTTAACTAGTAGTAACACTGGGTATGGTGTATTAAAGCTCCTTTATCACTATTTCTAGTTATACTGGATTAGAAATTTGAGAAAATAAATGTTCTCTCTTAATGATATGGTTGCTTCTGTCTACAGATACCATCAACTGCTGAAGACTGACATTAGAGGGAGAAGAATGCCGCAAGTGGACCAGAGGTCAGTTTACCATCTGTTTTGAAAATACTTCATGAATATCAAAAAACTCAATTTCCAAGTACCCTATAACTTATAAAAATACCATATTTAGACCTGGTAAAACAAAGCCTGGGGCAATTAAGTAAGAAAAGTCCAACGATCAAAATGAACACTTTATGCCCATATATACAAAGCAACTATGAGTCTTTTGAAGAATCAGTCAAGGTTGATAACCCCAGTAATTTATGCTTCTATGAAATAAATGATAGGCAATACCTATTCCTAATTACCTCATGGAAGAAGTGTCTCATCTGAGCCATTTTGGTTTTGAAGCGCTTTAGTTTTTGATGGATCCTCTTATCCTTCTCTAGTTGGGAGATGGTAGCCCACTCACAGTGTAGATAGGAGCTAAAGGGGATGGAAATAGCCAGTCACAGTGTGAGAAAGGGGAATTGGTCAGCTAGTGTCTGAGATGTGGGGTTAGCCAGAAGCAGACATAAGACTATGTGCTTCAATGGGGAGACAGTCTCTTAGGTCAGTGCTTCTTAAACTTGATTTTGCACACAAACCACCTGGTCTAGGGTAGGCTTGAAAGTTCACATTTCTAACAGGCACCCAACTGATGCTAACTCTGCTGGTCCACGGATCACACTCTGAGCAGCAAGGTCTTAATCTTAGACTAACGTAAAGAGGATTTTACAAGGGATTTTATCAGGAACCATCCTCACCCCACCTTTCTGCAGGTAAATATAAAGAGTCAATTCCTGAGCTTCTCTCTGAATAGACATTTTCCTCACCAAAAACAGGTGAAGAGACTATAAAAAAAGGGGCACATTCCCACCCAGGATAGACTATACAGGAGAACTTTTTAGAACCCTGAGGAATTTGGGGTGAAAAGCTTTTTTGCACAGATCACATACTAGTTCTTGTACTTGACAAAGAATTCTTCTGCTTCAGTATATTGTCCAGAAGGAAGCTGAGAAGAAAGAAATTACAGTTACTAAACTTATTTGTCAAAGAGAACTTTTCATTTTAACACACATGGTAGAGCTTCATACCAATGCTCCCAGAATATATTACTGACTAAGGGATTAAAGAACTTAATCTGGTATTTCAATGCTGGAGGCTTGACAGCTGGAGAAAATAAGCCCTTTTCCAGTTTAAACAAATAAGCGAAAGAAGTGGCAATAAGACAGTTCCTATTTTCCACCTAACTTTTCTCCACCATCTCTTGTAACTACACTGTAGCAATATAGCCTGACATCCAAAGGTGCTCATTACATACAGCCTGTAACTGCAGCATTATGGGCTGACATTAAAAATAGAGGCCTCACCTCCTTCTTCACAATACGCATAGAAAGCACTTTGTCTACAATGGCTGCATCTTCTTCACTGGGATTCTCCTGTAGCAAAAGATGCAGTCAGTCAACAGAGATTGTGAGCAGCAAGACAAAGGTCTCAAATTGCTTAAGTTCTCAGCTTACCACAAAGAACTGCATGGAAGGCAAAGTCTCGCCATCTGGTTCCTGCACTGGCTCAGGCAGGATAGGCTCAGTTTTGATTGGACCAGTTACATCTACTTCTTCTTCTTCTTCATCATCTGTGATCTTTATATCCAGATCCTCTGTATATTTTTTCCGTTTAACTTGGCGGTTTGAGCGTCTCTTCTATAGAGGCAAAAATGGTTAAAATAACTGCTTGGGTCTCTCAAGGAGAAAACTTTTAAAACTATTCGCCTATAGTCATATACTTAGATTTGACTCCAAAATCCCTATGAAAAATTAAACCAAAAGATGATAAATAGCTTATTTATCGAATTATGTGATGTCAAATCATGTAACTTATTCTATGTACTGAATATATATTAACTTGCTGAATTGTTTTATCAAAGTATCAGATTCCACCTGAAAGTAACCTATTGGCAAGGGGCTCTTAAAAAACTGAAACAGGACTCTCAACCTGCAGAGTGCAATGAACTTCACAGGAGGAGCAACCCTGGAGTGCAAAGGTGCAAGAACATTTTGTTTCTAATTGTTCCTTTGTTTTAGTTCTAAAGTTTTTTTGTTTATTTTAATAAATAGGATCATACTGTATGTATTGTTCTGCTGCTTACTTTTCTGTTAGCATTTTTCTTGGAGATGTTTTCCATATCAATACATTTCAAATCGGCCTTATTCTTTCAAATGGTTGAGTAAAAGATTTTTTAATTAAATAATCTAAGTAATACTTGCAGCTCATGATAAAAAAATTAGGAAGGATGGAGAGACAAAATTATTATTTTTCAATCATGATTATAACCCCTGGAAAACCCAAAATCAAATGAGTCATTAGAAGCAGAACTACTGAAAATGAGTAAACTTTCTTGGCATAAAATTAATTTTTAAAAATCAATAGCATTCTTATAGAGACTAAGGCAGAAAATACAATAAAAGAAAATATTCTTTTTCTGAGAAAATATTATCTTAAGCATTAAATTTAGTAAGAAATATATAAAATCTATGTGAAGAAAACTTTAAAGCGCTATAGGACATTAAAAGAGAGTTGAATAAATAGTGAAATATATATACCCTCCCTAATCACATAAATTTGAAAAACAAAATTAACAGAATTTTTTAATTAGATAAGCTGATTCTAAAATTCAAATGGAGAACTAAACATCTAAGAATAACCAGGAAAAATATGAAGAAGTATACCTGGCCTTACCAGATATTAAGGACAATATAAAGCTATACTAATTAACACAACTTGGTACCTCTCCAAGAAGAGATAAACAAGTCAAGGAAATAATGTTCAGATATAGACTAAAATACTTATGTGGATTTAGAACATGATAAAAACAGAACTTTTAATCAGTGAGGAAAAAGTGGATTATTCTATAAAATGGGATTGAAAACAGATGACTAGCCGTCTAGTGGATGTAAGAAACAAATCTACAAAAAGACTGCAAGATTTAAAAGTTAAAAAAAAAGACATAAAATTTCTAAAAGAAGATGTGGAAGAATTTTTTTTTATAATCCTGGAGTAGAGAAGGTGTTTCTAATAAATTGATCAATTTGACCTTGTAAAAAGTTTAAGATATCTGAGTAATATCAATATAATCCATCATAAACAAAGTTGAGACAAATAATAAACTAGAGAAAAATGCCATATGATACATTTCCCAAGCATAAAGAGGTCTTTTGAATCACTAAGAAAAAGATCAACACAATAGAAATATGGGCAAATAACATAAATAGTTCATAGAAAAAAACAGAATGGCTTTTAGTGTAAAATGATGCTCACACTCAGAATAAAATTGTTACAACTGAAAACTAAACTGAGATCCCCCTATTTTTTCTCTTGCACCTAACCGAGTGGCAAAAATCAGAAAGTTGGATCAAATATTTGAAACAGGAACGTACACATTGTTGGTGAGAGTACACACTGGCATGAAGAAAATTTCTATAGAAGAAAATTTGACAATACCCTTTGATCCAACAATTCCACTTCAAAGATATTATCCTACAGATAAATTTGCACATATATACAAATCTCTGTAGCATTACTTGTGGTAGTAGAAGACCAGAGAAAACCTAAGTGCCTATCAACAGGGGATTGGTTAAACAAATTATGCTATAGTCAAAATATATGAAGTGACAGTGGAACTCTCACTGCTGGTGGAAGTGTAAAATGACACAATCACTTCGGAAGCTGGCAGATTCTTATAAAAAATGATTAAATGTTTAACTACCCCACAGTCTATCAACTCCTGGGAATTTAGCTATGAGAAGTGAAAACCTATGTCCACAAAGTATGTGTACTGAGACTGTTCATTGCAGGCTTACTCATAACAGCTCCAAATTGGGAACAAACCAAATGTCTAATAGAATGAATAAACACTGTGCTATATTCATAAATAAAAATGTTTCTCAAGAAAAAAAAAAGAATGAACTTCAGATACATCAACAACATGAATAAATCTGAACAACATTATGCTGAAAAAAGTGAGACCCAAGAGTACATACTACGTGATTCCATTTACATGAAGTTCAAGAAAGGCTAAGTTTAATCTATGGTAATAAAAAGGGGCACAATGGTTGCCTATGTGGAGGTGTGGGGGAGAGGATGGTGAACTGACTGAAAAGAGGGTACAAGGGAACCTTCTGGGATGATGGAACACGGGATGTCATTAAATAATCTCTCGGGGCTTCCCTGGTGGCGCAGTGGTTGAGAGTCCACCTGCCGATGCAGGGGACGCGGGTTCGTGCCCCGGTCTGGGAGGATCCCACACGCAGCGGAGCGGCTGGGCCCGTGAGCCATGGCCACTGGGCCTGCGCGTCCGGAGCCTGTGCTCCGCAACGGGAGAGGCCACAACAGTGAGGGGCCCGTGTACCGCAAAAAATAAAAAAATAATCTCTCTACTTTGGTGTATATTTCAAATTTTTCATAATAGAAAACAGAGTGTGAGGAAGAATGGCTAGATCTATCTTTTTGATAAAGAACTACCTTCAAGATATGTTGTTGGAGAAAAAAGCAACAGTACAGAAGAGTAGGTATGGAATACATACAGTAAGTGGTAGTGGAATTAGAGTGCTCATGAAAGTAAAGAATATTTCTGGAAAGATACACAAAAATAGTAACAGAGGTTACCTCTGGAGAAAAGACCTGGGGGACTGTGAGGTCTCCATTGCCAACACTGGTATTACCAATGTTATGGGCTTAATTGTATCCCCTCAAATTCTTATGTTGAAATCCTAACCCCTGGTACCTCAGAATGTGACTGTATTTGAAGACAGGGCCTTTAAAGAGGTGATTAAGTTAGGGTGGGCACTGATTCAACTGGGTTTGTGTCCTTAAAAGAGGAGGGAATTTGGACACACGCAAAGACACCAGGGATATACGCACTGAGGAAAGACCATGTGCGGACACAGTGAGAAGGTAGCCCTCTGCAAGCCAAGGAGAGAGGTCTCAGAGGTAACCAGACCTGCTGACCTCTTGATCTTGGACTTCTAGCCTTTAGAACTGTGAGAAAACAAATTTCTGCTGTTTAAGCTACCCAATCTGTGGTATTTTGTATTGGCAACCCTAGCATATTAATACACCACTTTTGAAATTTTTTTAATCTTTGTATTTCTTGTATCACAAAGATTTGCCTTCAGTTTGTGTTTTGTTTATTTAACAAACACCTTATTTAACCCTTTGTTTATTTAACAAACACATATATAACTCTTACTAAGCTCTCTTACCTGAACACTGTTCTATGTGCTTTATAAACATTTACATTTAAGCCTCCTAACAACCCTACTTGGTAGATATTACTATCTGCATTTTAGAGATGAGGAAATTGAGACACCAAGAGGTTAAGTAAACTTGCCTGAAGTGACAATGTTAGTGAACAGTAGCGTTAGGATGAGAACCCAAGAAATCTTGCTCCAGTCTGTGGTCTTAACCACTATGCTGTTTAGAGAATTTTTTTGTTGTTGCACATGCATAATTTTTTTTTAAAATATATTTATTAATTTTTGGCTGCACTGGGTCTTCGTTGCTGCGCACGGGCTTTCTCTAGTGGCGGCGAGCAGGGACTACTCTTTGGGCTTCTCATTGTGGTGGCTTCTCTTGTTGCAGAGCACAGGCTCTAGGCACGCGGGCTTCAGTAGTTGTGGCACTTGGGCTCAGTAGTTGTGGCTCGCGGGCTCTAGAGCGCAAGCTCAGCAGTTGTGGCACACAGGCTTAGTTGCTCCACCACATGTGGGATCTTCCCAGACCAAGGATCGAACCCATGTCCCCTGCATTGGCAGGCGGATTCTCAACCACTGCACCACCAGGGAAGTCCCATGCATAATTTTTATACAGTTAAATGTATCGATCTTTCGCTTTACGACTTGGGAATTTTAATACTCTCCTTAGAAAGATCTACCTGATTTTACAATTATTTAAGAAAAAACTTATCCATGTTTTATAAAGGTTCATGATTTCAATTTTTGCATTTAGACCCTTGATTAAACTAGAAATTGTTTTTGTTAAAGAGTAATGCAAGAAATCCAATTTTATTTATTTCTTCCTAAATGTGTAGCCAGTTGTCCTAACTTAATTTATTAAATAATCTTTCTTTCCATTGATTTTATTTTTTTATTTTTTATTTATTTTTTTTGGCTGCACCACATGGCTTGCAGATCTTAGTTCCCAGACCAGGGATTGAACCTGGGCCCTCGAAAGTGACAGTGCAGAGTCCTAACCACTGGACCACCAGGGAATTCCCTCCACTGATAAATGGCCTTTTAACTCATATACTAACTTCTCATAACAACTATTTGAATCCTCTTCTAGACTCTATTATCTTTTACTAATCTCTTATTTCTTCTCTAATTTTAAACTCTTAGTAATTATTATTTCATAATATACTCTAATGTCTGTTAAATCTAGCTTTTGCCTCATTCTCCTTTTCAAAAATGTCTTGGCTATCCTCACATGTAAACATACCCCAGAAGAACCAAAGTCTCAGTTTATCAAGGTATTGAATGCATATTAAGGAAGAGGGGATATAAAAAAATAAAAATAAAATTCAAATCAAAAGAAAAAAAGGAAGAGGGGAGACATTTATAAAGTACTGATAGCTAGTGAGGCACCTGAGGTTTGTTTAGTCCAAACCTCCATTTTTCAAATAAAGAATTTACACATAGCTAAGTAACCTGGCCAGGCCCATTAGAGCTACATAGAAGTACCACGGGTCTCCTGAATCACTAACAACACATTCTTTCCATGGTTGGAAACTAGAGCCAAAGATGGTACCATAAGGCAACAGAGATAGAGGACTAAAGTTCTTCTGGTCCAGCTTCTTTTATTCTCTTCCCAATGTTTCTCATCTTCAAAAGGTAGCAAAAACATTGTACCTTAAACACCCCAGTTCTCAGCGCCAAAACCCTGAAGTTTTGGCAAGAATTGAAAACCCTGAAGTTTCGAAAGAAGTAAGGCAAAAGGGGGATAGCTGGACAGTTCTAAGAGAAACCAAAGTATTGCCATACCCAAATCAACAATCTTGCAGCATAATTTCATATTTGCTTAGTCTCTGAAACACTGGAATTTGAGAAAATGAATATTGCTTTTTTATAGTAATATGCTTTTTGCCTAAAAAAAATTCAAATTTAAAAGACATGACCATGACCAGATCTTGCCTCTTCTACTTTTTAGGACTACCTCTGGTTTAGAAAAAATGGTGAAATGTGCATAGGCTTATCGTCTCTCAGTATCTATTCTTGGTCTGTCTGTCAGAAGTAAAACATGATTTTTCTCAGTAAGTTCTTCAGGGCTCCTTTTACCTGAATGCTGCTTTCTTCATCTTCCCGGGGTGATTGTGCAGGCATGACTTCCACATCTGAATTATCAGATGAGGTATTACGCTTTCTCTTCTTACCCACCACAGGAGTGATGGTGCTAAAAAGGAAAAACCAAATTCAGTTACAGTGAAGGCAAGGAAAATTTAGGAGTAAGAAAATATAATTAATCTAAACCATCACGTACAAAGTCTCCAGGCATAAGTGTCTAGATCTTCAGTCTGTGGGACACACAGCTATTGAGCAGCGTGTTTGAAAAAAGAAGACATTAGGGTTTCTAAAATACCAGCTGACCTTTACACCAGATCTGACAAATCTCTGTTACCACTGTATTCACAAATACCTGAAGAAAGGTAGAATAACACAGCAGAATGAATTCTTGACTAAGAATTACAAGGCCTTGTTTTAGTTCCAGTTCTGTCACTAGCTGGGCATTAGTTTCGTAAGTAGCAAACACTGATGATAACATCTGGCCTGACAGCTGTTGAGGATCAAGTAAGATACCAGATATGAAACTTGCTTTTTAAAGCTGAAAAATCCTGTACAGATATGAAGCATTATTATAATTACACCGCAAAGCCTGAAGAATCTCAGGGAGTGGAAACTAGAGAGAAAGGAGTGAAGCTACAAGACACGGAAGGAATTCTTGTCAATTGTGACAAGAATTATGTGGCAAGCCATGGTTCTGTCAAGACTGCTTAAGGCTGACAGTGGCTGCTGAAATCTTCCCCAGTTCACAGATGAAATGTAAGAACAGGGCAGCTATGTCTACAGCAGCTCTCTTTTACTGGTGTGGGTGGTAGGAGGCCAGTGAGAAGTCTTCCACACAGTGGTGATACAAAATCGGGAAGAATACAGAAAAACACAGGCACAGCTTTTAAATGTAACCCCTAACACAAGGCTGGCTATCTTTCCCGTGCCTTGGTGTTCACTTGGGACAGAGAAAAGAAAGGCCTTACTATCTTCTAATGATAGAGACATCACCTTGAGCTTTGTAGCTGCTGAATACAACACGAGTTTTAAAATGTATGCACTATCCTCAAATGTCCCGTCAAAAGAGCAAAGGGTGGTACTTACTTTAGCTTACTCTTGCCCTTGGTTTTGGAGGTACCAGATGTTTTGCTCTTCTTTGGCTTTTCTTCCTTGAGCCTCTCCCCACTGCTCTTCTTCCTGCGTTTCTTTTCACCTTCCTCCTCAGGCCGAACGCTAGGCAACTCATCCTCATTCAGGACTCGAGGTATGTTCTGTTCGCCCCGGGCACGGGCCCTAGCAATGGCCTCCGCTACAATCCGATTTGCTTTCTCTTGCTTCTTCTGGTGCTCCAGCCTACGGTTTTCCTCGATTCCCGTCTTGCCCCCCATATGAGGAGCAGAGCTTGCTGGTGAGGACAGCGCTGCCACTTCACTGGCACTTAGAACTTTAACTACGGAGAGCCCAGAAGAGGCCCCTTGGGAAGAGCCGGCCTACAGAAATAAAGACACTAAAATTTCAACATGCTTGTAGCTGAAAAACCTGAATAAAACAACTCTGAAGCAGGTAGGCTAGAAACGTCAGTTCTCTAATTCCTCAAGAACCAGACTCAGACCAAGTCTTACTGAACCTAGAGACACATTCCCAAAAAAAAAAAAAAAAAAAGTGTTTTTTGGTGGGATGCAGATGAGAAAAGGCAAGAACTGTGCCAAATTAACCTTCGATATACTTAAGCCATGCTCCTAATGTCAATACTCATCTCCATAATTCCAGAAAATTTTCAAACAATACAACCAACACTGGTCTCTAGGCTAAAGGTAAAAAAATTCAAATTCTACTCTTGGCCTACCTTCATCTCCCTGGGGGTGAGAGGAAGGACAATCACTTGGCCTCTTTAAGGCTATTTCTTTATGTTTCAAATGAGAGGATATTTCCAGTCATTTTCATTTCACAAGAACATTAAGAAAAGATTGTAAATGAAACGGTTCAAAGACAAATACCAGACAAATCATCTCTGATCCCAAACCCAATAATAACCCTCAAATCTTTTCATGATGTAATTACAACAAGGTTTCCACGGGTGAAGGAACTAAAAGTCTACATGTCACTTCAGAGGTATGAACCTAGACTGGCCCCACGTTCAACAGTGAGTGACTGCCGAGGGGAACAGCCAGGGACTAAGGGATGTGCTTCCCTTCTTTACTATGGAAGTCTCACCTGGGGCTGCAGCACCACCTTGAGCGGTACTGAAAGTCTCTGTCCCGGGCCCTGCCCTGGTCCCATTATCTGAGCCTGCTGCACAGAGGAAAGAGCCACTGGCTGGGCTGAGGATGGCTGCTGGGGCTGTGGCTGCGACGACGGGGGCTGCGGTACAATCTGGATCTTCTGCTGTGGCGGCTGCACCTGCAGCTGGATAGTCACTACTTTGGCCGGCTGCCCCTGGGCATTCTTGGCTTGCGTCAGGGCTGCCAGCTGGTTGCCCTGTAACACTATCTTGCCTGGCAGACTCCCCAGCACGACGTGCCGGTGTCCTTGGGGACCTCCAGACTGTGGCTGCTGGAGGACCAGCGTGATGCGTTTCGATTCACCCTAGAGTGAAGAAAGGAAATTGCAAGAGAGGTAGAACATTAAAGAATGGCAGACCCCTTAACGTTTACACCAGTTTTCCTCATCCTAGAGTTACAACAGCTGAGGGTCAGAAAGCACAGTATAATTCCTTCTGTTCATCCTCCTGTCTTTCCTGATAAGATCTTTTCTATATAACCTCTGCCCAGCGGGTATCAAGCCTGTTCTTGAAAAACTGTTGGGAGGCTCGCTCTATTTCTATGGCAGTCATTCCATTTTCTGGAAATCTATTAGAACAAAAGTCTATACTGAACTGAAATCCACCTCCTTATAGCTTCTCTCCACCAATGCTACTTATCTTAATGCTGTCTTCCCCTCCCCCCAAACTCTTCTGGCCCTTGATTCAGAGACTAGAGCCTCTATTTTCTTATACTAGAAACTAGCCTTTTCACTGGGCAAAGTCAGAGGAGGACAATCTTAGTAATAAGAACAGGGGAGAGATACACATAGCTTCCGTAAGTCTTGCAAAAAATAAATGTAGTTTTCCAAAAATGATTCTTGTTCCCATTGCATCCTATATTACTCATATAACTTTATATCATACATTATTATGAGTTCCTGTTTAAGGTCTGTTTTTCCTGGCAGACTGTGAGCTCTGTAAGGACAGGGACTGTGTCTATCTTGTTCAGCACCAGCTAGGCACAGTGTGAATATGTAGTAAGAGCTCAGAAAAATACATTAACACTAACTGCTTCCACCTAGTAAGTGATAAATACAATGCTGTCAATACTAACTGATAAAAAGTAAAGATGGAATTTAAACAGGATTTCCTAGAGACAGCTCTCCTGTGCTTGCTCTCACACAGTTGCTGGGCCCTCTACTAAACCAAAATTCACCTCCCCCTTTCACTCAAGTCACCTGGGTAGGTGTAGAGGTCAGTGTAACTGCAGGCTTCAGTGGGGGCCCTGTGGCCCCAGGGTTTCCAGCAGGAGCTGAACCCTTAACTGGCTGTAGGACCAGCTGCTTTACTGGTCGGCTGGGCTGGACAATGCGCTGAACAGTAGCCTGGTTCCCAGGGACCTTGGCGGCCAACACTGTATTACCAGAGACAATGGAAACACCAGGTCGAAGGGGAGTGCCGGTTAGCACTTTGGTAAAAGTGACTTTTCCACCATTGGCTGTGCCAGCCACGAGGGGCTGAGCTGTGCTGGTGATACCTTGGGCCTGAATTTGTGCCACATGGGCACCAGTGACTGAGGAGCTGGGTGGGGCCTTAAGGATAACAATCTTAGGGGCTGACTGAGGTGGCTGCCCTCCAGCACTACTGGAGGGAACAGCTGTGGCAGAGACACCCATGAAAGGATTCCCTTGGCTCAGGATCTCCTGGCTCTTGGAGACCTGCAAAAGTCCTGACGTTGGCGTCGGTGTCTGTAAGACAGGTGGGGCTGGCTGCTCTTGGCTGACGGGCTGAGTGGTATAATCATGCAAGGTTAAAGATTCTGGAGCTGGAGCTGTCGATTCTTTGGGAAGTTCTGTGGGGGCTGTTTCCTCTGGTGGGGGGACCAAGTCACTTGCTGATGAATTCCCCACATCACCACCTCCACCATCCTGGTTCATCTGATCCAAGGAGTCCAGAGAGCTTGGCAGTCCAAGGGCTTCCTCAATAGGGTCTTGTGTAACCTGATTGAAGCTGTCATCAGTAAGAGAGTCCAGGCCAAATAAATTTGGGTCATCAAACAGATCCATGATGGGGTCTGCCATCTTGGGAAAGCAATGGGGGTTACTTCCCCAAGGTTTAGGGAGGGAAGGGGAGGGGGGGTAATGGCTCTCCCCTCCCCTCCCCTATTAAGAAAAAAATGTACACAATGGAAGAGGACTACTCTTCAGGTAAAGAGGCAAGAAACAAGTGCATGTCAGATTGTCCTGACCTTCATGGAGCAAGATGGCTAGGTCTTCAGAGGAAGATGGTGGAACTCCTGTTGTAGGAAGACAAATGACAAATAAGCAAAGTAGGTGACCTCAGGGAAAATTTCTAGCCTTAATATCAAATAGCATCAAAATAATAAGAGAAGAGGGAAATGTGAGGTAATCTGAGGACAGAGACACAGCGGAAAGAACATCCACATTTCTGCTTTAAAACTAAAACTAAAAAAGAAAAAAAGAAACAATCCAACGCCCTTTTGGGGCTCTTACACACTTTGAAGCTTCTGTCTGTCAAGATCATTCAGCTATCTCTGTCCATTTCTTTTAATAATTATCATTCTTAGGTAGAGATCAGGAAATTTAACATTCATTCACCTTCTATTTCAGGTTCGTAAGTTGACAGAACTTAACAATATACCAGCAATACTTCAGTGAATATAGCTAAAGGCTTCTGGATATACTGTATTTTGTAAGTTTCCCTTGTATTTTAGATACTTTTACTTACTACTGGCAAAAATAACCACCTTTAACCAAGCTTATAGTATAATCTTACCCAGGAAGTTTCACAAACTTCATTCTACCTAACCTATCGATGAATCGATACATAGTGTTTCTGTTATGACGTCCCCTCCCCACTTTCTCATATTTAAGATCAAAAACTTCCTCTGCAAGAGGTTCAAAGAATTCTACAATTTCATTCTAGTTTACATTCCCAGCTTTCAGTCTCATCACTTCCTGTGCTCTCATCACTTCCCATATATACCCTACATTCCAGTCCAACTAGAAAATACAGTTCCCTTAATGACATTCCTATCTGCATGACTTTGCCTATTATGCTGTAGTTTCTTCCTGGAACATCCCCACCATGCTCCTCCCAAACTTCTCTTCCAGCTAAAATTTCTGACACCCTCAAAGGTCTTCTACTCCACAAGGTGAGCCCTGAACCTCCATAAGGTGAGCAATTTTTGATGACTTGGTCCGTTCACCTTCCTTAAATATCCACAGTGTTGTCTGCACCTTATTTAAAGCACTTATATTTAACATTTTATTAAAATGGTAAGTTTCTTGTCCATTTCCTCTGAAGGCCCAAAAGGTTCTTTTGTGCAAATTATAAAAAGCTGCCTACTCAAGATACTTGTTTGCCATCTGCTGGAAAAATGTCATACTAAACATATTATCTATGATGACAGTGAACGCCTGCAATGCACACCTTGCACAACCCTGCATGGTGGCTCAGTTCCTCTTTCCCCGAGAAAGAAGAGTTTCTGAATGGTGGGGACCACGTCTTATTCATCTGTGGATCCCTAAAGAACCAGAAGAATATCACATACACAATAGCTACTCAAAAAAAATTTAATGAATTAAAGTATTTGCTTGCAGCGTCTGGAATGAACCATTCAGTCCTTAGAGAAACTAACTGTTATTCCTAATTCCAAGATGAAACAGCAGAATACTTCTTATCTTGAAAAACTGTCCTACAAATAACTGAAATTATGTTTACTAAATCCACATCTGGGGCTTTAAGTTCATAAAATTCTGGGAAAAGGAAAAACTAAGACAAGGAATTATAAGTACATCACCAGCTAACTAAACTATATGAAAGTGTAGTATCTGCTCTTTGTATATGATATCAATATTTGTCAATCCAGAAAAGCGTTGCTTGATAACACCATTTCTCCTAACTTTTAGAAGATATCAGAGGAGAAATTTGTCAGTTACACAGTACAGACTTGACTGAAGAAGGCTCTTCCACACAACCCCCAAACTTTTTTCCCCTTTCCTTAACCCATTCCAGTTATCCTTGTAAAACAATATAATGTGGGTAAGTAGCCCAGAAAATCAGACATAGATAAGAGAGGAGACTCATCAGTAGTTGGCACATCAGTCAAAATTACAAAGCATACGTGGCATCTCCACCAATGTTAAACAAGATCTTCCTAGCTTCAGTAATTGTATACCCTTCACATCTCAACCAGGGTCCGTATCACTTCCCACTCCTGGTTAAACTATTCCACTAGCTCATTCCAGCCTCTCCTATCTAACACCTGCCCCAAAGTAACTCAAAATGGTGATCTGAAGAGTTATGGATAGGACTTCCCTGGTGGCACAGTGGTTAAGAATCCGCCTGCCAATGCAGGGGACACGGGTGTGAGCCCTGGTCCGGGAAGATTCCACATGCTGCGGAGCAACTAAGCCCATGTGCCACAATTACTGAGCCTGTGCTCTAGAGCCTGTGAGCCACAACCACTGAGCCCGTGTGCCACAACTATTGAAGTCTGCGTGCCACAACTATTGAAGCCCACACACCTAGAGCCCGTGCTCCGCAACAAGAGAAGCCACCGCAATGAAGAGTAGCCCCCGCTCGCCACAACTAGAGAAGAGCCTGCATGCAGCAACGAAGACCCAATGCAACCATAAATAAATAAATAATTTTTTAAAGTTATGGGTATTTCTTAATTTAATGAAAATCTACTCAATAATTTTATCGATTTTCTCAACACTACCATCAGCTGTTTTCTAGTTATGCCCTACTTTGCCACCTATTATCTTTCACCTCCTATTCACTGTCAGAGAAGTTACACTAAATATCTAACAGCTAAATGTCACAAAAAAACTACAGTGAGGGCTTCCCTGGTGGCACAGTGGTTGAGAGTGCGCCTGCCGATGCAGGGGACACGGGTTCGTGCCCCGGTCCGGGGGGATCCTACATGTCGCAGAGCGGCTGGGTCCGTGAGCCATGGCCGCTGAGCCTGCGCGTCCGGAGCCTGTGCTCCGCAACGGGAGAGGCCACAACAGTGAGAAGCCTGCGTACCGCAAAAAAATAAAAACTAAAAATATAAAAACTACAGTGAAAGTTTGCACTAACTAAAAGTTTATGCTGATAATAGTTTATAACCTGCCTTTTCTTCCATGGGGTATTTTGTCCTTTCCAGGACTCCTTGCTATTTATTCACCCAAATGCTCTTCCTTCCCTCCCTCCACAACAGCCCAATGTCAGAGAGAGAGAGAGATCTCATTTTTTAATGGGAGAAACGAGGCTAATAGCTTCTGAAATATTTCCTTACTTCCATATGACTCAAGTATAAGTTTTTAAAGGTCAATGCACTTATCATTTATCTCCCTTCCCAATTTTTGGGCCAAATTTCTGCTTCTCCTGGGTCAGTCGGGGCCCAATAATTTAAAAACCTCACCACTGACTTAATGCCACAGCATCAAGTCACACTACTTCTCAGTCCCATCCTATCAACTCACCTCTACTGACCTAATTCATCTTGTACAATTTTTTAAATCCTAGTCTCCAGCTTCTTTTTTAACTCACATTTTTAAGTTGTCCTTGACTCTCAAAAGAATAAACCTTCTCCAAACATATCTCCAACTTTCTTCACCCCTCCTTCTGTTCCTACTTATGGGTTATCCTGGCTATACCCATGTCTGGCCTACTCTACCAAGTTCATCTACCCCATGGTAGATGAGCTTGGTAGAATTCTCTTTCCATGGTTCAAACCCTGGTAATAAAAATAAACAGATGTTGGACTTCCCTGGTGGCACAATGGTTAAGAATCCCCCTGCCAATGTAGGGGACACGGGTTCAAGCCCTGGTCCGGGAAGATACCACATGCCACAGAACAACTGAGCCGGTGCACCACAACTACTGAGTCTGCACTCTAGAGCCCGTGAGCCACAACTACTGAAGCCCGTGTGCCTAAAGCTTGTGCTCCGGAACAAGAGAAGCCACCTCAACGTGAAGTAGTCCCTGCTCACGGCAACTAGAGAAAGCCTGTGTGCAGCAACGAAGACCCAATGCAGCCAAATATAAATAAATAAATAAATTTATTAAATAAATAGATGTTAAGCACTCAAATATACAAAACCCTTAATATATCCCTAAGTAAAGCAACTGCCTAGATAAAGAAATCATAGCAAACTTTAATCATATTGAGAATGAAAGGCCAGTCTTCACCTACCACTGCCCCAAAGAGGAACATATGTATATGCTCAAAAGGAAAGACAGAGAGCTTGATCGTTGCACTTAATCACTTTCCATAATTCCAAACTAATGAGTAGACTAACGACAGAAAATCTTGGGGGGGAGGGAGGGAGAGGGGGAGAAGTAGAACTAACTAGTAAGTTAAGGTTAAAATCCAAGGCCACCCATCTAAAACTTCCAAATAACAAGCCAGAGGAATTCTTTATATAAAGCCCTTCATCTCATCGTCTTCTTTAAGGAGAAACTACTCCCTTCCCTCGTAATAAATATAAACTGATGTTTTTTTGCAGCTTTATCATCTTTAATGTAGTTCTTCTGGGTTTTCTTAGAAACCTAGAGTCCCAACTCTCCTGTTCTTATTTTAACGTGTCTCCTACCCTTGCCCATTTCAATAACAACTTGTGGGTCCAATCATAAAAGACTTAGTTTTAATTCTACTCTATACTTTTCCATCTCAATCTCCCCATACCTTTCAACAAAGCAGTAATTTTCAACTGGGAGATGGAAGGTATGCAAAGTTTGAAAATGTGCATTCGGTGTTATAATTTTATATTTGTCAAATGGAAAAGGAAAACATCTCATTGTTTAGGTTATTTATATTCAATAAAACTGGACAACATGGGTAGGGGTGGGGGGCAGAAAAAGAAGTATGCCTGGTTTGGAAGGATTATTGACATCTCTGTGATGGGGTAAGATTTCTTATGGTTTATCATATTATTTATGACGGATGAGAAACACTGCAACAGAAATTAGTCCAGCTGTCTAGGACATAAAATTATATAAACTGAACTACAGACATCTATTCTCCCTTTACAGATTTCTCTGTACTATCCATCCTCTTAGAAGATAACAGATGAATGCCATATTGACAAAAACTGATCTTTTCTGGGGGGTTAATATGCACTTTTAGAAAGTAGCAGCCATGCCCACTTAACCTCTAACTGCTCAAAGAACAAACTATTTTACTTCAAAGTATTAATCTTGTTATTGGAAACTGTATCCTTTCAAGAGGATCAGCATAGGCAGGCAGGCAGACATAATAAACACGATATGGAAACAAGATGGGTAGAAGCAGTTTGAAGAAACCCCTTGATAATAAAATAAATCAGAAGGCTTAAAATGAAAATCACCAACATAATTTTAAAAGAGGAGGATTTAAAAACTGTATCATGGAGACATTTGTGAAACCCAAAGGGTCTCAAATCTTATAAAGAAATGGGAAATAAACATCCAAGGTGAACAGAATCACAATTTAGGGTCAGCAAAGGATCAGGATGGAGGGACACAGACCATAAGAAATAGAGCTATTAACTTGGAGCCACTCAGGAGATTCTCCTCACGAAGGTCGAGATCCTAGGCCATTTTCTCTATCTTCACCATTCTCAATTCCAAATGTGTGGCTACTCTGTTTTTGTTTTCCCAATTACAGAAAAAAGCACTCAAACCTCAATCAGGAGTATGGACATTTGGGGCAAACATGGCTGGTAAAGTGAGTCCTTCTGAATAAACAGGGAAAGCAAAATAGGCAACTATGAATGCTAAAAGCATGTTCGTATGTTCAAGGGGTAAAGGAGAAACTACAGAAATTATATGTACTCATGTGTAAGGGAAGGGGCAAGGCAAGGAAGTGCGGGGTTGACGGAGAGGGAGACGCGACTGGGGGCGGGGGTGGCCGGGACCCGGGTACATTACCTGCTCATACTGCCAGGGCTGGTGCCAGTAAGGCCCACACAGCAGAGGAGGGAGATGTCGGGCAACTGGAGCCCCCAAAATGGAGGTGAGGTACATGCTCTTGAGGGAGTGAGCTAGCGGGGTGCCCTCCAGGGTGGGGATGGCCAAGACGGGAAGATGCGGGGTGGGGGGGTGTGGATGCCCGGGTGGGATCAATGTGAGGGTGGAAGCTACAGGCGGGAAGGCCCGACTAGCCCTTAAGTAGAAAAAGAGCTGTGCCTCACCCCAGCAAGGTAAGAGAGGTGCCTTTACCTGCAGCGGCCGTGGGGGGCCGGTTCGCCCCTCTCGCTGTCTCTCCAGCACCAGTTCCCCCTCCTCCAGCGCAGCCTAACTTGATGCTCCTGCCCGCCCCGCGTCCTCATTGGCTAAACTCCACTGCCACTCACCAAGGGGGCAAACACGCAAAACAGCGCAGTGGGCGGGACTAGACAGAGCTTCCCCCTCCCCCGCCACCGCGGGGTTAGGTTGAGAGCGCACGGAGAGGCCTATCCGGTTTCCAGGGCCGAAGCGAAGCCTGCAGCTTGCTTAAAAAAAAAAAAGGAGCCTGGCCAGCAGAACCGTCTCAAGCTGCGGGAAACTAGTCCTGGCGATTAAATTCCCCCACCACCTACACTGTTTTCTGCACACCAAAGAGCGTAAACTCGGGAGGGAGGGTTCCACACTAGGCCAACTCCGCCTCCCTCTGAATCCCCTGCCTTCTAGCAGCACTGTCAACTCCTCTGCTGTAGTGACTGCACCTTCTCCCACGACCCATTAAAAGGGGCCAAATCTTCCGTCCATCATGGGAGTGAGTCAGCCCAATTGCTGGAACATGGGGCCTTTTACTCTTAAAAGATAAAGCGCTCTCTCTGCCGCAAGCCAAACTGCATTCTTGATAGCAATGAAAAACAGCCATGAGACGTGTAGAGGAAACTCTTAAGTAGCTCTGAAGTTCAGTCTTGCTAAAGTGTAAATCACAAAGAAGAAATCAGAGGGAGATAAGATTGAAGGTATAGGTAAGGGCCAGACCCTTCAAGGAAAAAGCCTTGAACGCCATGTTAAAGCATTTTCTTCTAGGTGGATGAGGAGCCACTGAAACATGGAACGACATAATCAGAAATGCATTTTAGTTAGCTAACTTTGGCTGTTTGATAGAGAATAGATTTGGGGGCTGATGTAACAGAGGACACAGAAGTAGTCAGGAGGCTGCTGTGGTAGTCCAGAAAAGAGTTGTATTGTGGATGCTTGCTGATTTTTTTTCCTGCTTCCCCCTTCCTATATTGGGAGAATAGCACAAGGTTAAAAGTCTTCAATGGAAGAGTGGATCTTAATCCCCACTATAGAGCTGGGATGGGTGGGTGGGGGTACTGAAATGAGGGGCAGAGTCCCATCTCCTCTTCCTGTCGGAGAAGAAGTACGCACATGACCTAGCCTAGTCTAAGTGGACACTGCTGTGGAAAACCTTGACTTTGCAGTGGTAATACAAAGATCCAGAACCAACCAGTTAGACAATATTCAGCAATGTCAGACACTGGAATTCTGCAGCATCATAGACTGTTCAGTGCTATGATCCTGGCCACGTTCTCCATGTTTCCAACTTCCCTTGGTTTCAGATCATTTTCTAAATCAGATTCTCTAGCATTCCCACTGATTTGTGAGCCACACAATATCCTTCGAATATGTTCCCCTTCTGCTTAAGTTAGCCAAAAGATGATTTCTGTTGTTTGCAACCAGCAAGATGATTAGAGCCTGAATCATAGCAATGTGGTTCAAAAGGTAATGATGGGAAGGAAAGGCCAGAGCGGAATAATACTTAGGGGATAAAAATTGGTAAAACCTAGAGTTTACAGGGAAAGATGAGTTCAGCCGTGTTTAGTCTGAGTTACCTATAGCATGTTAAGTAGTGATATTCAATAAAAGATTGGATTATAAATATAAAAGTTGCCTTGGTGACAGAGTTATCAGTATCAAAATAGTAGTTTTAAGAGTGGAGATCACCTAGGTAATTACTCTGGGTAATCAGAGCTAGTATATGAAACACTGCACCAATACTGTTGGGGAGACAACAGAGAATGTAAGGGGTCTGTGAAGAACTGGATGTCCATTCCAAAGAGAGCAGCTGCTATTCAGCTCTAGTTAAGTGTTGCCATATGGAAACACACATCCAAGATTGAAAGAGAACTTCAGGTTTTTCAAAAGCCAGAAATACAGAGTTTTATGTAAATCTTCTGGGTTTTAAATGCAGACAACTAATTTTTTTTAATGTTTTAAACACTATGCGTTAGAAAAAACACTTAGCTGGAAACCCCCAAATTTGAAATTTTCGGTGTAGGGTGAAAAAAGCTAAAGAGGAACCCAAGAGAACATCAGGATTTAAGAATCAGAATAAGCCACACCTACTAAGCAGGTAGAGAAGGCAAAGCTAGAGAAGCAGAGAGTGCAACATCACCGAAGCAAAGACAGTAGAGTGTTGCTGAGGGAAAGAGCGATCAATTGCATTGAACAAAGCAAAAATGTCCAATAATATAAGAACTTTAAAATGTCCATTGGATTTAATGCATCTCTACTTTTCACTGTCAAGCTAAGAGTAACCAGTCCCATATGAGCTTTCATAGTACTTTTGTTAAGTACTCTGGGGATAATTATCTTCTCCTTTGTATTTTAGTTATATTTGTATGTGGAGGTATGATGAGCTTAAAGTCAGAGGGATCTAGGTTCAAATTTCTGTCCCACTAAGTAAATAAACCTTTCTGAGTCTAGTTCATTCCTCTGTACATAGGGGGCTCAAATTACAGGGCCATTAATGAGGATTAATGAAACATCTCGCACACTTCTTGGTATGTAACCACTATTTCTAGGAGGTACTCAACGAATGTTGCTGGATAGACTATTTAGAAAAAACTTTTTCCCAGTGTCTCTACCTACCTTGGAGATGCTAGGCAGCCTTAGAGGGAATCACCACCCACATGAATGACCTTCAAAATAATTCATTAATTTCAGCAGGCTAATATCTATTGAGTTTGAATATGCACTGTAGCCCTTGCTTCCTCTACATTAAATCTAATTTACAGCAAACAGGAATAACTATACTTTATTTTTATTTTTATTTTTTTTTGCGGTACGCGGGCCTGTCACTGTTGCAGCCTCTCCCGTTGCGGAGCACAGGCTCTGGACACGCAGGCTCAGCGGCCATGGCTCACGGACCCAGCCGCTCCGCGGCATGTGGGATTTTCCCGGACCGGGGCACGAACCCGCGTCCCCTGCATCAGCAGGCGGACTCTCAACCACTGCACCACCAAGGAAGCCCCAAGAATAACTATACTTTAGATTCTAGCGTCTAAAGATCATGTTCAACTAACCGGCTTCAGTCAGCCTAACCTGCTATAGATGTTCTAAGTCACTAGCATCCAACTTTGAGTCGTGAGAGACCTAAATTAAAACTCTCAGGGCGCCAAGGAAGGGTCATAAAGATTTCAGAAACACCCCCGCTGCCCAAACACTTTTTTCGAACGGCTTCCAGGACACCACACTTTTCTGATTTTCATTCTACCTCTCTGGCCAATTCTCCTTTGCTATTCTTCTCCTCTACCAGCCTTTAATTGTTGAAGTTCACCAAGCTTTGGTCCTAGGCCGCCTTTTTTTTTCATTCTATACTTTCTTTTCAAGAATGTCTAATTCACGTACAAGGTCTCAATTCATTATTTTCTTCAACAAACTATCTATATACTTACGTCTCTCATTTATATCTCTGGGCAAGACGTCTGAACTCCAGGCCTGTTTATTCACTTGCTTACCCAATAGCTCTTCCTGGTAGTCTCTCCAGTCTCCCTGGCTGACCCACTCGTCCAACTCTCCCTATAAGAGGCTTATTACCTCAAGGAGACTGATTCCTTGGTAGTCTCCTCCATCCACACCACCACGCGCACACACACACAGAGGATAATCATCCTCCAGCATCTCCTATTCAGTCATGACTGTAGAGACCAGAAACTCTCTTCCTTACCACCCCTATCCAATATTTTAAAATCCTACCTTTACCTCCTAAACATCCCTCAAATCCATCCACTTCTGCCCCTACTACCATTCTGGATCAATTTACCTCACTTCCCTGGACTATTGCAATCGCCTTCTAACTGGTTCCCCATCGATTTTGCCTATTTACTTCTTACTTATCCTTCAAAGCTCATTTCAACATCGTCATTTCAAAGAAAAGCTTTCCCTGAGCTCCCAGACAAAAAACAGCCATACTTGTTGAATGTACATTACGTACATGGCCCTCTTCTAAACAATGAAAATGCATCAGCAGTTTCAATTTTCTTAAACTTGAAATAACTATATTTTACAGATGAGGAAACTGAGGCACAGAAAGATAAGCAATTTGCCCAACATTCCACGGCTAATGAAAAGTGGTGCCAGATTCAAATTTAGGCAATGTGGCTTCTGAAGTCACATTCTTTTTTTTTTTTTTTTTTGCGGTACGTGGGTCTCTCACTGTTGTGGCCTCTCCCGTTGTAGAGCACAGGCTCCGGATGCACAGGCTCAGCGGCCATGGCTCACGGGCCCAGCCGCTCCGCGGCATGTGGGATCTTCCCAGATCGGGGCACGAACCTGTATCCCCTGCATCGGCAGGCGGACTCTCAACCACTGCGCCACCAGGGAAGCCCTGAAGTCACACTCTTAACCACCCAACTATACTATGGTGTAGACTACATGCCCCTATTACAAATTCTCTTGTAACATCCATAATTTCTCTTTTGTAGTAGCCTGAATAACATTATATAATTCATTGTTTGATATCCATCCTCCCTCACCCCCATATTAGAATGCAAGTTGCACAAGGGCAAGGCCTGTGTATGACTTATTACAATATTTCCTTGGCTTATCAGGTGGTAAAAGGCACTCAGTGTACTTCTGTGAAGGAATGCATTTTCAACTTCCAGCCAAAGGTGTGTGGTAGTGGGGCTGTGGAGGGGTAATGCGGAGCTATCTGACCAAAACCAAGGGCTTCTCCAGACTGCTGAGATAGTAAACAGGCAGTGGCACATTTCCTACCAGAAACATTCAGAAGAGGCATCACAACATCTTAAGCGTCTTCACTTTTTAGGACCTGTAGCAGACACAGCTTTCAGGTATAGTAAAAGAAGCTGCATCCAATACACATAAAAGACTATTTTCTATAGTGTGGTAATCACTATTGAAAGCAATGAAATTTTAGTTATCTCCTTTAGGCTTGGGACCATAAAGCCTCAGTGGTGACCAATTTGAAACTATGGCAAGAAGTGAATGGATGAAACCATACCCATATGACTCAAAAATAGGGCATGGATTCATTCTTAAGTCAGCCTCAT